AAATCTGTGCTAAAATCTTTCTGAAATGAAATATGAAAATTATAAAACAATATTAATAAAGCTACAAACAAACAAACAAAGACATATGATAATTAAAAGAAGTAGGGACGAGGGAGGGGCATGCATGCATATTAAAGCTGAGCCTATCCTCTATCTCTTAAGGCCTTTATGTAAAGCCTACTTGTGTCGATTCAATGAGAGACCCTTTTGAAACTATGTAATAATCATGTTGCTTTCCTTTTTCTCTCTGCCCCTTTTTCCCCATTTATGTTCTTTAAACATTACACACAACTCCATATTAATTAAACTGAAAAAACTATTCATTATATATTGTCGTTTATGTTAGTGATAATTAAAAATTTTAATCCTAAATTTCATTTGATAAGGAAATCACATGCATATATGATAAGGTTACTCTTTCTGAAATTTGAAAATAATATATAATAGTACTAATAATGCTACAAGCAAACAAAAACACATGGAAAAGGAAGTAGGGACTAGAGAGGAGGCATGCATGCAAATTAAAGGTAACCCCGCCCTTTAAATCCAAGGCTTTATGTTAAAGGCAACTTGTGTCGATTCAACAAGAGACCCTTTGCAAACTACTCCATATATTTCTTAATTAACATTATAATTAAAATTCTATCTTCTTAATTTCATTGATAAATATGAATGAAAAAGGTAAAATAATTATATATAGCACGTGAAAAATTATAGAAATTATCTTGACAAAATATTGTTGGTATTTTTAAGAAGCATCAATATTAATTTATTTTTGTAATTGTTTTTGCTGTCTTTAATATCCATTAGTCATTGTTTTTTTTTTTTATATATAATGATGATATGGCACGAGAGGAGCAAAAAATTAAAGAAAATGGTGCTATTATGCACCATAGGAAAATGTGTGCAAAGTGTTGTGCGTGTATTGGCTATATATAGCTTGTGTTTGATGATAAATGCGGTCGCAAGCCATTGATTTTGTTGGTAAATAATGACTAAGTAAGAGTAGAATAAAGTGACATATTAAAATAAAACATCGACCGACACATGCAAGGGTATGGATTGGAAAAACATGATTAAAGCGAGTTGATCTATCTGTATGGACAATGGTTGTCCCATGGATATGGAATTGAAGTGTTTCTTAATTAGTCTTCATATATAACAACTTTAATTAGCAGTAACAAATAAAATTACTATAAATTGTAAAGTCATCATGCGAAGGCAAATACTATGATCTTAATATAATTATAGCTTTTGAAGTGCCTAATTAGTAATGTACCAAAAAGGGGGGAAAAAGTAATTAACATAAAACATATGGAACTGGTTTGGGCACCCAAAGCTCATCCTTTATAGACTATTTAGATTTGATTTAGACGATACAAGTTTAATATTTTAATTAATTATTTTTTAAAAAAATCATAGTTAAAAATAAAAAAATTAAATATGGATCGTCCATATCAGATTTAAATAGTCCAAATAGAATGATTAGCTAGAGAAGGAAAACGCCGGAGTGGTTATGAACAAGATTACGTTAATAAATTGAATTTGGATGATTATTACTTCATATGAGATTGGCTTGCACGCCTTTGACTGCCCTTTTTTTGGGCTGTTGATTTGAAAAAGATTAAAATTTGGAGTAAGAAGCTAGATTGCATTCAAAGACAAAAAGTGTAATTTGCATTGAGAGTGGGTGGCATTAGGAACAAATCAATCATTGTTAATTATTTAAAAATTAAAAGTGCTTTAATCAAACAACCCAACTCTCTATTTTGTTCGGTATCCACCCAGATATATAAAGTAACATTAAAATAAAACAACCATACAGATGAACTCGCTTTTGCCTCTTTATAGTTTATGCCTTGCCCAACAATAGAGTTGTTAGCCAGGGCTAATGAATTTGGAAAATGTATAATATATTCATTCTTAATTAATTTCATTAATTAGCCAGAGCTAGAAGAAATATATCTCTGAACTCCTTTAGTAATTAACATCACGCTTTTTTTAATTAACAAAATGACACTTTTAATAACTCTTTAATAGAGAAATAGTTTTTTTTCCCCCAAAAAATGAAGAGAAATAGCTAGTACATTCTTATGGTTCTGAAAATCTTAATGATATTAATGCCAAATTGCCGAGTTCCTTCAGATTTTACATCATCATAGTTCTTAGTTTATATTATATCTAGTCCTAATTATAAGATTTTGTTTGTAATCTAAAAACGAGGTCTTATAATTAGGACTGGAGATAGTATTAAACATGTAGTCTTATGTTGTTGGGTTTTGCTTAATCGTTTTTTCCCCCTATTTGTGTCTGTAGATTTTCGGATACTTTTTTATTGAGTGGAGGCTAATTTAAAAAATATACTCTCTTTCTCTGTTTTGGGAGGAATATTTTTCTGAAAAAAATAATACACACTACCTCTGGTTCTAAATATATGATCTACTATACAGTACAAAATAGATCATATATTTAGAATCCGAGATAGTATTATTATTTTTTACACGTACACAATAGTAAATAATCAACTAATTGTTTTTTAACATGTGAAAATTATTAGTTAACTAAATTTTATTTTTAAAATGGGAGTACAAACAACCTGATTAATGTTATACCAACAGTAATCATGTGAATTTGTGATAAAAATCCTCCCTTGCTAAACATTTTAATACGAGTTGGTTTTTTTTTTTTTTTTTTACCAATTGAAATTTTATTGATGAATATCTGTGAGAATACGCAAGGAGGATGGGGAGGCGCATGGGCATGTGAGCGGGAGGGGACAAGTGTCAGCATCAGCCGAAGTAATCTTTTTTTTGGTACAAATCAGCCGAAGTAATTGACTTTGTCAAAGTCAAACGGTGGCTCCGTCACTGCACCAGCCTGTTCTTCTCCGTCAACAAAACAGTGCGCTTCTTTTTATTTTTAATTATTTGGTTTATTTTAAAAAAAAATACTCCCTCCGTTCCTTATTATAAGAGACAAATAACAGAAATACGTTGATAAAAAAACAGTTAAAATTAGTTAAGAACAATTAATGTATAAAAAGTATAATTTTTTTTTCAAAAATGCCCTCATTAATAAGGAGAGAGAGTATGAGAGAGAATAATTAAATTATTAAAAGAAAGAGAAGTGGGAGGGAGAGAGAGTGTAAGTTGGAAATAATAAATATGGGTAAAATAGTAAATCAACACAAAAAAGTAGAGACAACTTGTAAGTGTCTCTTATATATAGGAACATGCCATAAGCATCAAATATCTCTTATAATAAGGAACGGAAGGAGTAATGTGTTTCCATCCTGGCAATATAAAAGTTTGTATATGCTACTTTCTATATTATTTCATTTTAACCTACCCACTAATTTATTAAAAAATGAAACATAACATGGGAACATTTTCAGAATTAATTAACGCGGATTTTTTTAGAATTAATTACTATACTCCTTCTGGTCTTTGTTTTAGGGTTTTGGTTTAGTTTTAAATATAAGGTCTCATTTTCTCTTTTCTTAATATATTAAATAGTAACGTCTTTACATTGCACAAAGTAAAAGGAAAAAGGACATAACATTGTTATAAATTTATGAAACTAAACTATTTAAGATATTAAAATATTTCTCTCTTGATGGACTAAATTCAAAAATTTCCTTAAAGATGAATGAAAAAGATAATCCATGAATTACTAAATTGGAATGTTAGATAGGAATATCAATATATTCCTCTGGTCTTTAATATAGAATATAACTATTGAGTTGATTTTAATCTTAAATATAAGACTTATTTTTATATTTATCAATTTTTTTTAAATCATCCCTATTGATGCTCCTTCAAATAGGAGAGAGAGTGATGATATTAAAAAAGATAATTATGGTGCTTTAATAAAATCTTATATTTGTTATAATTAATTAATATATCTAACTTTTTAAATCTAATTAAATAATTAAATAGGTTTTATATCAAGAATAAGAAGAGTATAAAATATTAAAAAATACAAATAATTAAGCATTTCGATTGGGCTAGCAGCAAGGCCCAGTCTTACAAATCCATACATATATGCATACAATCACGGGCCCTGCAAAATCATCGGGCCTGCCAGCTCCTTTTTGGGGCCTCGAAGTACGGACATATTAATCACAATCAATTTCCCTGCTTTGCGGGGGAAGGGGAGCGTGCACTCAATTTAAAACATTAAAATACATACTTCTTCATTGACGCATCTATCTCAACATCATACAAAGAGGATCATAAACGCTATCTCTGGGCCTATTTATAAGAACAAATGAATAGGCTGAAAACAGAAAAGGCAGCACTTAAAAACCAGACCTTTTGACATGCCAGATTCTTTAAAGACAAAATGTGTGATATTCTAATGTGAATGCATCCTGATATTCTTCAGAAAATAACACCACTCCCCTCCACCTTCATCTGGCCCTGTTTATCAGCTATGAAAAGTCCTCCTGGAAGAAGAAACCCCTCATGTTTCATGAGGCCTTGGACTTTGGAGAAGAACAGAGAATGTTACTGCATCAGTTATTCTTGGTAATGCTTTTAAATCTATTTCACTCTTGCAGAATTCAACCAACAAGAGTTGGTGATAGACCATCGACTGTTTTTATTTGGGGTAAAGCTTATGATTATACGATAGACTTCAATCATAATCAGAATCTTTCAGCAGTTTCCACCGCATAATTGCTTCCTTACTCAGCTGACAATGCCACCAATCTCCACCAAATCATGGTTGCAGCAAAGCAAAGTAATTGATCCATAGAAACAAAAAAAATTAGGATATGCATTACGAGTTGACACTAGAATTATTACAAAGATCGTATATACACGAGCATTTCTTGATAAAGTTACATGAAATTGTTACCACCCATTTCTCTTAACTCTACAATTCATGCCTGAACTCAATGTCTTGAACAATTGGAGCTCTAGCGTGAACAAATGGGTATGAATCATCATGTCCTGTGCAACTATACTGTAAAGGGATGTGCTTGCAACAGCACCAGATATCAAGTGAACTATCAGCAGATAATGTTAATATACAGTCAACATATTATTGCATTTGCAGCACAAATAGCTGAGAAATTTCTGTATATCCGAGAGCCATTGCTGTACTCTTCTATTGCACCTTTGAAAGAGTTCTGCCAGATACACCATGTAACAATTTGACAAACCCAAGAAAGCTTAGCTTCCCATCAGTGTGCCTTATCCAATCGACAAGTACAACATGAACAGGGATAGAAGGGCCAAGTCCAAGTTCCTAAAACAACAGTACGGAGAAAATAATATGGGTTAGCCATTTCTTTCTCTTTCTTCTCCTTTTGTTTTGTTTTGTTTTGGTTTGGTTTGTTTTTTAAATGAGCTTAATACAAATTCGTGACTGCCTAGAAATAGATGGAGCAACGATATCCTCTCAATGGAGTTTCAGCGATGAGGGGGGAAGAGGTAACAACACCAAGATTCAAATGTAAGATTTAGACATCCATTAGAAAAGATTCAATTCAGTGTCCTGAACTTACTGAAGCAAGTTCTTCAATGACAATAGCTCTGTTTCCATCTTTCTCAAAAATTTCATATGCACAGCGTGCATGTTGTTCCCAGCGATCAAGGGCTTCAAGCTGATACACACTTAATGCAGCCGCACAAAATTCTTCAAAACCCATTCTTCTATATTGTAATGAGTTTAGCTGTTATACAAGGAATATTCATGGATATGAGTCAGTAAGCAGTCAAAATCATGCTCCATCTACACGTATAGAGCAAGGTATTACCGAGGCCATAAAGTCAGAAATGTGGGACTCTTTCATGGCATCTGTTGCGTGTTTCCTCAGCGCCTGCCAAGACAAATATGCATGAGAAACTCTTGGTATTCAACAATACATCATGCCTTACGTGCTGATGTGACAGTGGATTATCCACTCACCATGCTGATGTTTTCTAATGTTATGCTGCCATTTTTGCTTGGCTCCAGCAGAGCAAATTGCTCCTTCAAATAATAGAGCTCATCAGCAGTCAATGTCTTTGACAACGCCTGGCAGAGAGGTCAATGGAAGACAACTAGTAAGATTAAATGTAACTAATACTTATAAATATCAATATAAGGTGCATAAATAACACATTAAGAAAGAGAATACATAATTGCCCCAATTGCATCTTGTTGCAGAGAGAGAGAGAGAGAAGAAAATCCCCAGTTTATTGGAGAAAAAATAAATATAACGTGAGTTCACTTTGTGGACTAAATTCCATGTTAAAAGCTATAGACAAACCTTTAGACATTAGATTGCAATTAAAAAGAATATTTGATTCCAACAGGAAGCAGTCTAAAAATAAACTCTACTTCTCGCTCAGTATCAAAATATACGCACCCTTAAAGAAGCCTTGCGCAAGGATGATGATCGCATATAGGCCTTCATGAGCTTAAATATTAAAATATCAAGAGGAACTTTTACATTGTTGAAATTCCTAATCCAAGGATGACCTGCAAATACAAGAATGTCGCTGGCAATTCAGAAAATGATCTTTCCAGAAGCCCAGAAGCTTATTAGATATTAGAAACGTCAGAAAACTCACTTAGAGCCTGGGCAGCTGATATTCGCTTCCTTGGGTCCTTATTCAACAGGCGCTTAACAAAATCTCTTGCTTCTGAAGATAAGGACGGCCAAGGAGGTTCATCAAAGCTTGGATCAGCTTTCAGAACAGCCCTAAATATACCAGACTCTGTTCGTGCCCAAAATGGACGACTACCACATAAGAGAATATAAGCTATCACGCCGATACTCCACACATCAGCTTCTGTACTGTAAGATCTATGTAGAACTTCAGGAGCCACATAGTATGCACTACCCACAATATCATTGAGCCTTTCATCTGAAAGCCATGGAAAAGAATCAAGCAAATGCCACAAATTCTCAAGGGTGATAAAAAACTAGTTAGTAGGGCTTTACAAAGGCAAACCTGGTTTGACAAAGTCTGATAATCCAAAGTCAATAGCTTTTAATTCAGCATTCTCATCCTTTGACACATACAAAAAATTCTGAGAAGTAAAACAGCAAGATGGTTATGTAATAAACTAAAAATCCACATTGAAATGCCAATATTCACTTACCCATTTTACTCATCAAATATTAGATGCGTGACAAATACAAGTAACAGGTATTTACATTAGAGCAGCTATTATGCACAATATTTTTCTATGATTTTCTTGGAAACTGTAACTAAACAATTTTTGCAAAATTCTGTTTACTTGAATGGTACTGCTCATAGATGTGCCATCTGAAAATTTCAAAATCCAGTCAGCTGAAAACAAGATGCAAGGCTATGACTCATTGACTATTGTTGCAGCAAAGCAAATATGGCATTTGTAACTCCATCCAATGTACACTGGTGCTTCAGTTAAACAAGAGAAAGTAAGATGTATTTGCTCACCTCTGGCTTAAGATCTCTGTGCACCACACCCTGAAGATGACAGAACGCAACAACATTCAATATTTGTATCAAGACAGCTTTTGCGTCATCTTCTGAGTATTTCCCACCTCTACAGAAGGATTAAACCATGTCAGTTAGGGAAAAGGTACATACCCAAAGATAAAAGTTTTTTTTAACAAAAATTAGAGCTGATGTAATAAGACATAAGAATCACCTTGAAAGTATTCTATCTAACAGCTCGCCTCCTTCACATAACCTAAAATGCCAAAAGCACCCAATTCATGTCCAAAACTTGGAAAATTCTTAAGAAAACAGCAGAGTGAATTCAGGTTGATAGAATATTCAAAATTACCATAAAAGAAACTAAGACTCAAGATTATTGGGTTGTATTTGATGGAATACAGGTATATTATTAGTATCCCATCAAGTGCATCGAGAAGGGGAAAAAGCCTTCACTAAAATACCAGCAAACCTTTTACTGTGCTAAAATCTTGAAAGGACAGAAAATGTACCAAACTTACTCCATTACAATGTAGACATTATCTTGGTCTTCAAATGCATCATAGAATTGCACCAGATTATTGTGTCCAGTTAAGGCTCGTAATATTTTCACCTCCCTTCTAACATCTTCAATTGCAATTGCCGTTGTCATCTGGCAACAAAAAAGGTGAAATCATAAGTGAGTTATAATACTATTCATGCCATATATGATTTAGATATCATGCTTTATTGAAAAGTGGTATGGACAGAAGTGGCATAAAGAAGTGCCAGATTAAAAAACAGTTTTATTCATGAATACACAAGTTCAAATTAGCCCCAAAATGTAGGAATATTATTTAATATTCACTTTTATTTTATCTTTATATTTTCTTAAAACATATTAATAAATTTATTCATCCCTATAGGTCCTCCCCAATTGCGTTTTAGTTCCAATCACTAAAAGGTTTGTAATCAAATCCTTATAGCTTTCAATAGCTATAACTTCCTTTTTGGTCAGCTTCGATAGTTGTCAGGCGTGGGGTGTGACAATCCGTCACAATTTCAATAATGGATTGTTTTCAGGCAAACTCCTTAGATGACGACCATTCAACCAAATCATGAGCAATCAACTAGCTAGTAAATCCTTCTTTGCATCTTTACGATCATACGTGAAGTATTGAAAATCTTGGCTCATGAGTCAGTGATTTGCAGCTGCTAGTCATCAACTTGACATTTGAATATACCAAGTCCTTGCCCTCTTGACAGATTTGTCATAAACTGTCATTGCAGAGACTCAGCAACAAAGTTTCCAAGTATAATGACGTATTGGAAATTGATAGAGCTGAAAGAACCGGCTGCGTAGTTCAACCTAACAAATAAAGTTAAAGGCTTTCTCCCCAATCCAATCAAGTTTCATTAAAGGAAGTTTTTTATCATGCAAACTTAGACCGTTTCCACATTAGCTAACCAGAAGAATCTTCAACAGTAACCCCTTGAAAAGACTAAAACAGGACTTCAGAACCTCAAGCATTATCCACAAAGTACCCCACAATTCGGAGACCAGTGCCGTTTGAACGAAAATCAGTCATAGCCCCCAATATAACTTTCAGCAAAAACAATTATAACGGCGTGTGAGATAGAGAAAGAATTCGAAGAACGATACATGGGAGAAGGGTATGGTTGACCTTAGATTTAGGAATGACCTTCACCGCCACTTGCTGACCCTTACGTTCACCTTTCTTGAACCTAGCAGAGCATGTATAACCAAAATGTCCTCTGCCTACCTCTTCCCCAACCTCCAATCTACTGGTGAGCTCCTTCGAAAAACCAAACCTCTTGTCCAAATCTCTCGATTCTTCTTCCTCCCCCTCTTCGGGTATCGCTGTCGCTGCCTTCCTCCCCTGCCTCTTCGCCAGCAAAGCCTTTATGTGCTTGGCCGGCGACGGCGGAGGAAAAGGCCTCCGGAAGAACCTCCTTGGAGTCGAACTCGCGCTCTTGCTCGCCCCCGGCGTCGACACCGGAGAATTTTTCAGAAAATGAGCTGGACTGGGACTGTAGAAGGGGAAGAACGGAGACTGCTTCCCGGTCGTGACGTCATCTTTCCGATTGTAGTTGTTGGCGATGGGAGAAAGCGGGGATTTTGGGACTTGAGAAGAATCTTCATACCGATCATGGTCTTCTTCTGTTTGCCTAACCCCGTATGGGTTCGGCTTCTGGGGCTTAGAGACACAAACTCCCATGTTGGGTTCGATCAAAGAAGCTGGGTCACTATATCACTCATAATTCACTCGTGGCATCGTGTAGAAATTCCAGAATAGAGTATGAGAATCATTCCTGGGCTTCATCCGCCGAAGACTCAGACAATTGAAGAGAAGCATACAGTGAGGAAGAAGAAAAGTAAGAGGCGAAGACTCAAAACCACCTAGTATTAAATGCAGCATGAGATGAGCTGAGAGAGAGAAAAGATGGGATTAATGGAGAAGATGAAGGTGGGGACAATCAGAGTGGCCACGTGGCATGCACAGGATTCATGAATTCAACAGTTCATGGAAATAAGTTATTAGTGAAATGAATGGAAAGAGGGGAGAGAGAGAGAGAGGAATTCAGAAATGCAGGAAGCTGGATAAGGGCGAGAAGGGGAAGGTGGAGTTAGAAGATGGGAAGACGGAGGATTGTTGTATTGGTTGGCATGGCTTTGGCTACATGTTGTTCCCCTCTGCCCTTGTGGACTGGTCACCAACGAGGCAACAATGCACAATTGTTTCCTATAGAGTTTTAACTTCTAAACCAAAAAGGGGGGAAAAAATGCTAGAACGGATACTAAATTGGTTGAAATAGTAATTCAAGGATCAATCATTCAGTTGGTCTGAACAGGTCAACTTGCGATTAAGCCAGTCTTATTAAAATAATATAATTTAATTAAAAACAATAAAATATAATATTAATAATCATTGATAACAAAATACAAGAAAATATAACAATAATTTGATTGTAAAAAAGCAAAGAACAATAACATTGAAAATTTTGATCTTTATGATTCATTAACAACTAAAATTAATAATTATTGATACCAAAATCATCATTAAAATTCATTCAAATATATACCACTAAGATATTAGGAGCTGAATCAGAAAAATATGACCAATAGCAACATAATCATTCAAACCAATTCATTACTGATTCATACCGGTTTACCCAGTTTGACTAGTTTGATACCGATTTAATGTCCAAACCTAACTGAACCACTGGCCAGTTTTCTGATTGAACTGGCTGGTTTGGTCTGTTTTTTTCTCCTAGTTCTAAACATTTTTAATAAAGAATCGCATCATGAAAATATTGATATTAGACAATGCTATGTCTGAGTTAATTAATTCGGTTACCAGTTGAGAAAGGCTACAGATGTTCTAATGTTTGGTTATGTGATAGGCAGGAAAAACTTGCATTATGAAACCAAAATTTGAACAAACTTTTTTTTTCCAATAATTTTATGATATATAAGGTAAATAATATGAAAGAAGTTTTCTCTCTACTTGTATAAAAATATTTTTCTTAAATGCATGGGTTCCCAAGCACCGCCTACATCATTATAATCAAACTCAGGTGAACTGACATTTTCAAAAAACCAAAGTTATGTTTGGTGTCACCCAGTTAGACTACACTTCTTGATGTCATTTTTTGGTAGATTAATATCTTCGTTGGATTTGATTTTCCAAAATATAATCTTGTTAATTCAGTTGCGAAATTGTGTACACACCTATGTTAGTATGGATGATCTGAGAAAATAATGTTAAATAATAACAATGAGCAATAATAAAATAAGGGGGAAGCTATTAACAGAACAAAATACGAAGTGGTCAGCTTTGTGATCGAAGATGGAAGTATTAATGATTGGTCATTATTAGTACTCCCTCCATCGGTTCTTGATGCTACCTCCAACACTTAGTATAAGAGTGAGATTCACTTTTAAGTTGATCCTAAATATAAGATTTCAATTTATTTTGTCTCTTATATTTATCTTTTTTTTTTAAAGTAATCCTTATAGTAGTTACACGTGTTAAAAGATTTCATCAAATGGTAATTCTAACTAATATACATTATTAGCAAGACTATTTTATAGAAGACAACACCTATTTATTACTAATAATTAACTTAACTAATTTTCTTAATATACTCAAATTGGTCAACTAGTTTTTATCTTAAGGACTTGATATAGTAGAAGAGTTTGTGTGACATTTAATTTGGTTTTAAATATAAAACCCCCAATTCACTTTGTTTCTAGTACTTATTTATTTTGCCTTCAAGCAATCCATATAGTAGTTGCATATATTAAGAAATTGCTATTAATGGGTAACTCAAATATATGATTAATAAAAGTATTTTAAAAAAGACAATATCTATATATTATAAATAACTAACTTTCTTAATCTCTCCAAATTAGTTAACTAGGTTTTATATTAAGGACCAAATGTGATATAATAAAAACGGCTTTATGTGTGTTTCACAATATAAAAAAGGTGCAAATATACAATTAGAAGTAATGGATATCAGATATATGAGGATAAACTAAAAGGTTTTAAAAATAATAGAATTAGATGATGTAACTTGATAAATTGAGCATGGATGATAAAGACATTGTACTTATTCACAAGGCATAGAGGTTAAATTTCCAACCCTAACACAGCCTGGACATTGCAACCCCATGTGCAGGCCTACGCTATCCCAACCACTAACTACTACTCCAAAGTGAGTAACTCACAAGCAACCCCTGCGTATCACTCTAAAGATTCATACTTTTTCCCATTAGAAGAAATACTTGTTTAATCCCTGTTTTAAACTTTTATTATAGTTATGAATTACTAATTCCTTTTCTGGAAAAAGAAGAAGTTAAGAAAGCAAGCAGATTAACATTGTCGTCCCAGGTCACAAGCCAAGTGTGAATGGCGGGGCCATAACCTAACTTGCACTTCCAAGTCGGTGTTCCCAAAGATAAATAGATTTATAAATACGTAAGAGTACGTAATGATAGATATGAATGAGTATTGGAAAAGGAGCCAACCTGGAAAGAAGACATGTTAAACGCTAGGGTTAAGAAAATATCAACAAATGGGGAGAAAAGTATTGGTACGTACGTTGTACAGCAATATAATTGGAGCTGGGATCCTTAATCATTATTGGATTTGTTAACGTTTGGCGATCGAACAAAGCGTTGGGGGGACAAGGATCCGTGGATTTGTTCAATGCCACGCACAACCTTCATGCATGCATGCATGCATATGCTAACTTATGTTCTTTGAGAATGATAAGACCTGACTGCCAAGTAATCACTAAAAAATCTTATAACAAGTAAGCAGTTATATAGTGATATTAATATCAGAAATGACACCAAGCTAGGTACGCGCTAATCTAATCAATAAGATTTTTTTAGTGATTAGAGTGTTTATACAAAATTGAATAGTAATTCTCCCCTTTTTTCTCCGTACTTAATACTACCTCCAATTCTTAATATAAAAGCTAGATAACTAATTTACAGATGTTAAATTTTTTTTGTTAAATCGGTTATTTACAATAAATAAATGTTGTTTTCTAAAATATTTTTGTTAATCATCATTTGCATTAGAAACAACTCATTAATGGAAACTCCTTAACTTGTGTAATCACCATAGAAATTATTTGGAGGCAAAATAAATAAATATGGAACATAAAGTGGGTTTGAATCTCATATTTAGGACAATCAAATTGAATATTTAATTAGCTTTTATATTAAGAATTGAAAGTAGTATTGGATGAATTTTATATGTTTTTTTATCTCTCAAAATATATGTTACTAAAATGTATATGTGATACATTTATTACAAATAATTAATTCAGCTAATTTTCTTAATATTTGTAAATTAATTACATAATTCTTGTATTAAGCACAAAATCTTGTGTGTGTGTATATATATATATACTCTTTTTTTTCTTTTAATATCAGCTTATATGTCATAACTAAATCTTGCATCTGTCCTTGCATTTGTATAGTTTTGCATATTCATTGCATGTGATCACTCGTTGGGAGTTGTCGCATGGAAGATTGGAAGGTTTAGTCTTGGAACTATTCAACTTATTTTCTCAATATGCACCGATTCTTGTTCAATCCAATTTTTAATGGTGAAGATACAGATATCTTCTCAATGCTTTCTCTTTCACCTTTCCTCCCATCTGGCAGTAGTTCTTTTTAAACAAATTTTATCCTTAGCTCAGCCTTTTTGATGTCTAAAAACAATTATTTTTGTCTATAATCAAAGTCATTAGTTCACAGGTTTTTAAGCTAGCTCGCTAGAGTACTCAATAATTTTCAATATATTTATTTTGACGCATTATTATGATCTATAGTTAATAATTAAAAAATGGAAATATATATTTAGCACAGTACTTTTGTACCAGTAGAAAGTTGAATATTATTGAACATTTTAATGAAGAAATATTTTTTTTAAAAATTTACTTAAATTGTCACATTGACAATAAACTCCTTTGATATATAATTAGTCATTGAATTTTGATATATGTTTCTGCAATTCATTCGTTTGCAATTAATTGTGTTCATATTCGAGTCTCCAGTCAAGTCTAGCCTAAAATGATATATGATCAAGTTTGACCCTTTTGCCGTCCATGAGCACTGTTACGATAATAATATAATTTTTTTTGGCATGTAATGAAGTCAGACAATAGAAGTTATGAAATTTTATGTGAAGTGTGTTTGGATTACATTTTTAAAAACATTAATTTTTCATAAAAATTATCAATTTATCATTCTCACAAAAATTCTATCGATCGACTTCCATTCCAAAAATAAAAAGTTGAATTTTAAATGCATGCAAATGTAATATTCAAACATACACTAACTCTATTCATTTCTTCTCTTAAATGCAAAATTTAATATAAGACCCACTTTATTAATTTGTAGAAATTAATGAGGTTACTAAATTACTTTAAAGTATTTGTATTTATTTTTTTAAAATTAATTTACCATACTTATAAATTAATATATAATGTAATGATACACACAAGTATTTTTGAGAGCTCATGTAACATATATTATAATTAAGTAATTTAGTAACTTTTTAATATCTTCATATAAGTTAACTTGGTCTTATATTAAGGATTCGAGGTAATATAATTAATAATGATTTTGTTACATAATTGTAATTGCATATAATGATAACTATAACACTTAGTTTGTAGAGGATAAACAAAATCTTATAATAAGACCGGGTAGTATCAATTAATAATCAATTGGATTAACGCATCTTTTATGGGTAGCCGTTGCTTTCAAATAAAAACGTTTATAGAGTATTAGAGGCGTTGACGAATCAAAGAGATCTTACAGGCACAGCTTTCATATTAGAAAAGTAGTCCACTAATACTCCCTTCATTCTTTACTATAAGAGACAAATAACCAAATTACGTTGATAAAAAAAACAGTTAAAATTAGTTGAGGACAATTAATGTGTAAAAAGTATAATGTTTTTTCCAACAATACCCCCATTAATAAGGAGAGAGAGTATGAGAGAATAATTAAATTATTAAAAGAAAGAGAAATGGGAGGGAGAGAGAGTATGAGTTGGAGACAAAATAAATAGGAATAAAATAGGAAATCAATACAAAAAAATAGAGACAACTTTTAAGTGTCTCTTATATATGGGAACATGCCATAAGCATCAAATGTCTCTTATAATAAAGAACGGAGGGAGTAACTTGCAAATTTCCTTAAACTAATCAGTCTGAAAACAAATTGAAGAACTTGATTGTAAATATAGAGATGATTAGAAACTTTTTTTCCCCGGCATTGCAATTGGTTAGGTATCACAAATGATTTGAATTCGTGAGAGACTTCCAATGAGGATATGCACCCACCTAGCATACGTAATTGAAAATGATGCTTATCTACGTTGATTGTGACGCCCATTAGCCAATTTAATTAAGGGGAAATGACTTAAGCCAAAAAATGAAAGAGAAAATTATTGAAAAATCCCCACTCAAAATATTTATTGCTCAAAGTAAATTTGTTTAAAAACTCGGATTTTTAAGCGAATACGAGGGGTCTTTTGTTTATGTGTAACATATACTCAGTTATATGCAGATATTTATTATTCTGAATATTTTTATACATAATTAAAAATATATTACATGCGTCTGTTGAAGAACAAATTTTAGATACCTTAAAGCATTAAAAAAATTTTAATGAGGAATTTTTGCAAACAATTTTTCCTTCTTTTAATTTTACGAGTTACTACCAATAATGTTTGCCTTTTCTTGAAAAAATAAAATATTTGTCATGACGAGAATGCCCTAGGTATTGTTTTTGGCGGCAACATGGTCATCCCCTTCGATTGAGGCAACTTTTCCGACAACTTTTTCCGACAATGTGGTATTGAAATTTCACGCAATCTGTTTTATTAGGAAAAATTACACACGTACAAGTTAAACTTCAAGGTGGATGACTAAAAACCCATACAAGATTTTTTCCCCCAAAAAAAAATTACAAGCAATCCAACACGTCTAAGATTCACAACCACCACTCCATATATATAAGATTCGTGTGTGTGTGTGTGTCAATTTGAAGGATGAGGGGCTAAAACTTCATTCCAAGCGTGGAATTTCAGCCACCCACTCTTAAAATTGACTTGTGAATTTAAGAGTGAAAATTGTAAATCCCAATTGTCATGGTCACCAAAAAAAGAATAGAGCTGGGAGCGAGGGGACATTTTGGTCATGATAAATATATAAGCCTCCAATGTCTCTCAATAAAGAGGCTAGCAATGCTAACAAGAGTAATCTAACTAGTAAAAGAGTCAGCTTATAATTCACAAAAATATGAGTTCGAATCTCATTATCGATATAAGAATTTTGTTGATGGACAGTTTGTAAATACTTCTGTTTTAAATTTAAAAACGTGCCCTATCTATAGTGACTGTTTGAGACTTAATTTACCTAAGCTTTTTGTAATAGTAATAATTAAAGGAGAAGACTAGCAATAATAATAATAGGAGGGCCATCATTATTTGAACAAATAATTAACTGTGGGCACAGTGACAGGGCTATCTGTGATGGACAAGTCATGAAAACACAAGTATACATCATTAGCCTCATATATATATATATATGTGTGTGTGTGTGTCATAACTTGTATTTTGTTACTATTCTCCACTTGCTTCTCTCTCTCTCTCTGTCTTTTTCTACTTGCCTTTGATCAATCTGTCCATGCCCCCTTCTTATTCTTTCATTGTGAAGCCACCAAGGCCACAGATATTTTGAATGATCGTGGACGTGGATTTGGATCCCATCTTTTGCTTTGCTTCACAGTTGTTATCGTTTTTGTCTTCACCTATATATATCATTATTCATCTTTCTTTATTAAGATTTGATTAGCAAATTTTCAATTGTTGTACGCCTTTTTGCCTTCTAGCTACTACTGCAACACATCACATTTAATGATAAGGTGTTGTTAATGATGGATCATTAAAATGGCATTGATGATGTTGTCATTCAGTTTTCACACCAACAAATTAAATTGCTAATTATAGTGTTTCACTTGCAGCAACAACATCATTGATTGGATTCATATATTTATAGTCTGTTTTCTTTTCTAATAAATGACATTGCTGAATGGAAAAAAAATTACAAGCTAGCTGGAATCATCCTTTACCAATACAAAATACTAATTTAACTTTGTAACCCAAAAAAAAAAACTAATTTAACTACTTGATTTTATGTCTCTTAGTTGAAGGAGACATAAGTGGTAATAACTTATGGTATTTGTTAAACAAGAATCACAAGCTACAAATAACTTACTTCTTCAATCCTAAATATAAGATTCATTTTGTGGTATAATTTATATCATAAAATGAGTCTTACATTTATAACTGGAGGAATATATAATTACACCTCATATGTAGTAGTGAAAACTCATTTTTAACCGATGTATTATTATTATTATTATTATGATGATGATGATGAATTCTTTTGCTAAAAAGAGAAATTGAATTGAAAGAAACATGCATGGAAGCAGTTGTATGTATATTGAGCCCTAGTATTTTTGTGAGAAGGAGGAAGAAGTCAAAGATAGCCTTTTTTTTATGTGAAGCTAAAAGGTGAGGCCTTACGTGAGGTGGAGGATAATTTGGCAGCTGATTAATTAAGATGATATTATATACAAGGTTGCTTGTGCATGCACGCGGATTATATATGACATGTTGCATCAGAAAAGATGAATAAATAGATAGGCCACCAAATATATATACATATGACACACACACACTGCTGTACTTACAACTCTTTTTGCAACCATCAATAAGCATTATTATTATAGGATATTGTGATAGGCCGCCAACTGGAAAGCTTTACAAACACTTGATATATGCCTTGGAAAGGATTTGGGAAAGCAAGATTACTTTGAGAGGAAGGAAGAAAAAGATCAGATAATACACACACACACACACACATGGAGGACTTATATATATATTGCATGATTCTTGGATGTGTTTGTATCATCCGAATACAAAACTCCAAACCAGTACTTGTCTTCACTCTATGATTGCTATCTCTACACAGTACACTTGATTGATGATATCAAACTTACAACACACACACATTCATGTTTTGCCCTTTTTCATCTTATCCATTTTGAAATGGCGCAAATATCAAGCGAATAAGTATGTCAATTTATTTTTTTCCTAAAAATATAATTATTAACATGTAAAGAAAATTAAACTCATTAAAAGAGATATACTAACACATACTTGATTTCTAAAATATGAATTAATATCGATTCAATGACCATATATACCATCGATCCTATCTTAATTCATCTGTTGTAGTTGAGGAGACATGAGAAGCACAAAAACTTAATACTCAGTAGCCTAATGACATAAAAGCTCTCTTATAAATAAAAGGTCATGCATTCGACCTCTCTCCTTTTAATTAAGTAAAAGGGGAGCAAGTTTAGCGTAAATGGTCAAAGAAAGTTGAAAGGATCAATTTTGATGGCCCAAGGGGAGCAGTTATTAGCCCAACTACCAATTGGGATTGGACCAAATAAATGATCTTTCTGGTTCCTCCCTATTCATGTGACAATGCTGTGGACCGCCCATATGGGAACCTTATTGCATATATTAATTTGATGTTAATATGTAACAGGGAGAAAAAATTGACGTTAATAAGTAAGAAACAAGGCAAGCAATGCAAGTCTTGCATGCATTTTTTATTCATCTTGTGTCTGTGTAAATCTATATAGTTCAACAATACATTTTCCTCCGAAAGTATTCAAATTGTGCAGAAAAGTAAAAAACAACAGAAAAGTATATGTAAACCAGAAAGTGGAGGGATCCAGAGAACAACACAACAAAATGCTGCAATTTTTTGTATCAAGGCCAAGGGAAGAAGGAGCGAATCATGGGCATGACAGAGAACTTCATGCCACCATTTGTGCAGTGAAACCTATTTCTCTCTCCACAAGCAAAGTAGTATGGCTTCCACCTCTTTAACACAATCTGGAATCCCTCTCCCACACCCTGCGTTGAGTTCGCCACATTTCAGATCACATTTGCCCTCTGTCAGATCACATTTCAAGAAGCTCCAATAGTCTGAGAACATGTAAACACTGTGTGGATGTGTGGTCGCGTTTGGAGCATCATACTTGAACACTGAATTCCAACCAACATATACACAACACGTAACTATCTTATATGTATATAAACAGAAACAAATAATACATATAATATACACACACACATATACCAACACAGTACAACAACAGTGAGTGAAGAAGAAGGAGAAGTAGGAACTCACCGAGAGTATCGTTGAGGTAGAAAGGGCCATTTTTGATAGCCCAATCAGAGTAGTTAAAGCCGAAGTGCCAATTCTCAGAGCCACCCACGATGATTTTGTTGGACTGTGGTCGAGTCATGTTGGGTTTCTGATGTCCAAATGATCTGGACCACCAGTCTGTGTAGTTAAAACCTGGGAACCAGTCCTTGTTGGCCACACTTGCTCCTGTGTAGAAAGGACCAACACAGTACAGTGAGTGAAGAAGAAGGAGAAGTAGGAACTCACCGAGAGTATCGTTGAGGTAGAAAGGGCCATTTTTGATAGCCCCATCAGAGTAGTTAAAGCCGAAGTGCCAATTCTCAGAGCCACCCACGATGATTGTTGGACTGTGGTCGAGTCATGTTGGGTTTCTGATGTCCAAATGATCTGGACCACCAGTCTGTGTAGTTAAAACCTGGGAACCAGTCCTTGTTGGCCACACTTGCTCCAAACATTGAAGCAATCAGAACAAGAACAACGAGGGAGTGTGCAAACTTGGAAGCCATCATGCTGCTTCTGGCTAATTGTCTTCAAAGATTGATGCTTTGATCAGTACAAGCAAGAGAGTTATGTGAGGTGTGATTTTCTGGGAACACATGGGGGTTTATATACATATAGCAGAAGATGGGGCAGGCAATGAGGTTTTGAATTTTGGTGGTTCAAAATGGCCGAATGAAACTTTTCTTACTTTTGTGTGGAACATGCTGTGCGGGTGGGTAGTTACTAGCTAGGGTTTTGAAGCAGAAGAGTGCAATATAATATCTATTAATGCATATATTTCTTTGAGATGTCCATTTTTCAGGCATTCCAAAACGAAAATGGGTATTTGCCTGACTGTGGGTAGGAACGAACAAGTCTAAGAAACAGTTATTTCAGCTAGACCAGAAAAAGAAGTTGAAGGTACTATTATTAGTTATTAAAAGGACAGGGTCGCATTTTATATGTATGAAACGAAGTTCGTGGTGTTGGCTATGGGAGTATGAGTGGGTGGGTGAAGGAGTTAAAAGAGAAAACATTAATACTCTTATATAATTATCAATTCTTAAATTTGGAAAAGAAGAGGTCAAGGTTGACCATAAATAGTTGAAGCACAAGAGGAGGTTTTAAGTTTCCAGGAAAATTAAACAAAGTTAATGAGTGTTGCAAATGTACCTGATTGATGCAGCTGAGGTGGCTAGTGGGATGCTGATAGCAAAATTGGACGTGTCTTTGACTTATATTGGACTTTTCATATCGCATATGCTTGTTATGACATTATTATGACAGCTTCATGTCGTAATGCCATCGTCGAACATATATCTATTTTCAATTAAAAAAAATAAGTTATTTAGTTAATAGATTCAAATATGTGGGTAGACAAGTAATGTCCTGAAGGAAATTGTATGGGACATGTGAGAATATTTCTCTTATATCTTTAATAAAAACACAAGTTGGGGGAAAAAAATGTTCGCTGATAAGAAGCAAAATTACACTCCCCTTTATTTGTTATTAGAGAAACGGAGGACTATGTAAGCTTATCCTCTTTTCAATATCATTTTGATTTTCATAAAATAAAAGGAGGGATTACTATTTTTAGCAAAATATTTCTATATAGTCCTGTCTTGTTATAATAGAATTATTTCATTTCTCTTGTATAAAATTTGCCAACGTTTGGATTAAAATATTCTTTTGATATTATCTTTTAACATTCTCCCATAAAGCTCTTGTGCAATTAAGAATTTGAAAAAAAAAAAAGAAGAAAAAAAGAAATAGAGACAAACTTTATATGCTAATCGGCACAAATTATCCATCATCTAATTCCCCCCCCCCCCCCACTATTAGTTCAGCTTTAAGATTCTATGTCCATTAATTATTTCCATAGATATCGACCCAGCAGGTAACTGAGCAGAAATTGAAGATTAGTAGGGATTAGAATTTTGTAAATAATTAATCAAAGATACTAACATTAAATGTTACCAGCGAGAGATATAAATCAATAAACTTATCAAAATCAGAGACATTACAATCGGCGGTCCACCACATAATCACCACGAGATGTTTCCAAAAGGATTACAAAATATATCTAGAGACTTAGCGTTCTCTGTAAAACAATGCAAAAATCGTTGGTTGAAAATTTTTCATCATTTATAATAGAACCATTCCATTTGTCTTCTTTCAATCTTTTACATTTGTGTCGCTGTGGTGATTAGCTTGTCTCCCTCGCTGTCAAGTCAAGTAAACAAACGAACAATTCAACAACAAATCAATGTGTCGATGACGCATCAGAAATTGCTGCCATGTAACAAAATGACTGTGGTATGGTATCCAATAACAAGAAGAATACAACATATACATACCAGAAATGTTATTGGAACATCTTGCTGTATGCCTTTTTCTCCCGATCACGCCTCTCAGCAATCTGTTCAGAGTATAATCAGTTAGGCCATTAACAAGAGCTACAATGCCTGAAAGAGCGATATTGTTTAGAGGGATACATATACTCATGACTTACCTTCTTCCTGGCAGCAGCAAGTTTCCTTTTTAATTCCAGCTGAAATTAAATATTAAAGTTGCCTTTTAGTGACTTAGGATTACACAGCTCACAGAATTTTAGAAACAGTTTAGTTTGTTGTATTGCTAGGTTTGAAACAGGAATCTCAAACAATTCATCTTGTTGGCGAAACACAGGAGAGTGCATGACAAAGACCTGGAACTAAAATCATACAGCTTACCGTCATTTGGCTCCAATACCAATGCCTTCTTAAAGCTTTCAACCGCGGCATCAACATCATTAAGTGCCATGTATGCCTGCTCAAATGGAAGCAATGTCAAATAAAACTTTTAACTTAACTAATTTCTTTAATATCTTGTATTAGTTATCTAGCCCTTATACTAGGATTGGAGGTTAATACTTAACTTCTGAATATTGGGGTCAAATGTGAGTAAAGACTAGAAAGTTGTTCTCTTTTTGTCTCACTTATATTTGGATAACAACAAAGAATTTACATACGAAGTAAATAGCATATTGCAGAAAAAAAAGTGCTTTGGAAAGATTATGGAAACCCAAACACTTAATAACACAAAGAAGTTCTACATAGCATAGGATAAAATGAAGGCAGATTATGCAAGTGAAAAGTATTCATAGACCTAAGGTAATATGGTTTTGGATCAAGAGTTAGTATTTCACTTTTCCATTTCTGTTAAAGTTCAATTTTTTCAAGAAAAAAGGTTAACAGATCTCTCCAATATCTGAAACTCTTGAGCCCACACTAAATTTTAACATAAATTCCGTGGAGATACGTGTACCTGTCCTTGACGGAACAAGGCCTTGACATTGTTGTCTCCGTCACGCATAGCAAATTCTGTATCTAGCAATGCTCCTTTGAGATCCCCCAATTTTAGTTTGCAAGCCTAAAATTTAAAATACCAGAAACAGAATATTAAGATAAAAGAGAAGCAATAGAAGGGAGCAAAATCAGTTACCATGTCAGATTAAGCGAACAGGATTCAACGGAGAATTGTATAGATAACTGCAAGCTGCGAAGCAAGTGTAATTTAAAACTGCGTCTGTAAAATAAAGCAACTTTGGTCTTACAGAGCTGTTTGTAAAAACCTGAGACTTCGTTTTTCTCAAACTTAAACTCAACTCTGAAAAGGCAAAGCATAAACACATTATCAAATGCAAAGGCAGAATTTTCAATTCGTAGGATAGTTACTATACAACCAAGCAAAAAAACTACTACCAAAAGTTAGCATACCTTCATCAATCCCTTCCTTCTCCCAGCAAGTATCCAGGTAGCGTAAAGCCTTCCGATACTTCCTGAGAGCCATTTTATAGTCTTGTTTCTGTCAGACAAAAAAAAAAAAAGAAGGTATTTTACCACGAAGCAAAAGATATATATAATCATCAGCACAGAACAACGATTAACAGGCCCAAAAAAATATTGCATTTGCTTCTAGCTGCTTTGATAGGTACACCATTCTTCCAACACACAAGGGAGATAAATGAATGTGAATTGACTAAATAAAGCCATTTTACCTTGTAGTATTCATTACCAAAAGATTTAATGGAGTCTACAGCATTCATCCACCATTGAAGTTCACTAGGGCTCTCATCAAGGTCAGCTGGCCAATCAGGAAAAGTATCACCGTCTTTGAAAAAGTTGGATATTCCGTCATCTGTTCCTTGAGGGATTTCTCCACAATCCACGATTTTAACATCTAGAGTGGGGCGGTCGTTGTCACCAGTTGTCACATGCTCAATCGATCGGACCACCCCCATTCCTTTGACTACCTTCCCAAATACAACATGCTTGCCATCAAGATGCGATGTCCGGGTTGTAGTTATGAAAAACTGAGACCCGTTTGTGTCAGGACCAGCATTGGCCATAGACAGCATCCCTTTCCTTTCATGCTTCAACTCAAAATTCTCATCTTCAAACTTTAATCCATAAATAGATTCTCCTCCAGTACCATCTCCAGCGGATATATCTCCTCCTTGGATCATAAAGCCTTTAATAACACGATGAAAGCAAGACCCCTAAAAACACATCAGAATACAATGTAAGTCCAATAGTTGAGCTTTGAAAATAATATCAGGGAAGTAGTTTTAAGTCAAAACATTATGAGAAAAAGGGGGGGGGCATTGATTATAAGAACAGGCTTAGTATTCACATTGCACATAACAATTCAGACTATAAGACAATAAAAATATGAAATATCATGTCTCATGCTATATGCAAGATTTTTCCTGCACCCACATACCAGTTCCCCTTAAGAGACAGCAAAATATAAGAAATATATATCACTTATCATGGTAACCTAGTATATTAGTATAAAACTGAGCACCATAATACTAGAGCCAATAGGCTAAGAACTGCCTCCTAAGTTAGCACAAAGCAGAGCCCACACAGTAATGCTGAACTGCATCAAAAGAAACAGTTCATCAACTCAATTTCAGCTTGTTATTGATGCAATGAATAAAGAACAGACGGTGTCCAATAATTAGCTACTTGTGTTTATGTTTGATGGCCATCATTCAAGAGAAAATAGATCCTATGGTATTTTTACCCAAAAGAGAAGAAGAGAATGTTTCTATAGCCTTTAAAGATCCCCTGTCTGAGATAATGGACATAAAAATCCACTTTATTGATAACTGCCAAATGAAATCTGTAAAGATACATAACCAATACAAAATGATGAAGGGCATAACCGTCTTTTCCGAAATCATCGATCAAAAGCAATAAAAGGGGTTTTAGAATCTTTCGATTACTGCAAAGTCCGGAGTTTCCAGATACCAAATACTCAAAATGGGCTCCTTAAAAAACGAATAGGTAAAAAAGAAAAAAGAAAGAAACCAACGAGATATGATTCATCAAGAACCATATGCCATATTCATTCCCCAAACATCCTTCTTATATCTGTAACCCGTTAGTTGAAGAAAATCAGACCCCTCCCATTCAAGCAGACAATAGAACAAAAAAAATCCCAAATTTGGGCAAGAATCACAGCATGAACAGAACAAAAAATTGATATTGCTCAGTCCAAAAATGGCATATCCACCAATCAGTAGTCCGGAATGACAAATCAATAAAACGAGTCTGTGAACAGAGAAGAGGAAAAGATAACAAAGAAAAAAAGGGGAGGGAGGGGACCTTGAAATGGAGGGGCACACCAGTGTTGGGACCAATGCCCTTCTCACCGGTACAAAGAGCCCTGAAATTCTCAGCAGTTTTGGGAGCGACGTCGTTGTAAAGCTCAATCACAATCCTGCCTTCAAGTTCATCTCCTATGCTAATGTCCAAGAAGCACCTTGGTCTCCCCATTTGTGTTCCCTCGCTTTGGTGCGATTCTCAGTTCAGTAAACCAAAGTAAGGAAGCGCGTTACAAGTCGAGAAGAAAAGTCTTCAAGGGTTAAACAGATATAAATATAGAGATTGGAGGTTCTAGACTCTTCTCCGAGCTGCTCTCAGAGGGAAACAGACAGAGAGATAGAAATTCGTAGGTAAAACAGACGCAAAATAAAATAAAAATTATTAAGGATCGCCCTCCCTTCCCTCCCTCTCTCCATAAGCTATGGCGCCTTGACTTTCACTCTTCAGTTCACTTTCATAGCCATTAGCCAATTGTCAAGTTCCAAGTTGTGTTCAATAAAGGGAAACCCACCCCTCATTTCTTTTTTCATCCAAGAAGTAAAGTAATAAAATAAAAAAACAACATATTTTCCCAAGAAGTAGTAATAAAATTAACAATAACAGTAATAATCATCATCATCATCACTTTTTCCCGGGTTAATTGCAACTCCCAGGTTGCCTTCTTTGTTGATGGATTCATGTGTTTGTTAAAATAATTTTATGGAGTATGAGACAAGTACGTGAGACATGAATGTTTAAGTGTCTGTGGAGATTTTCAGAAGCCTCCAAAAAGAAAAAAAATCAAATTCATCTTTATTTCATTTTATTTAATTTTTATAATTCCAAATTTTTAATTAAACTTTCTTTATTTTACTCCTATTTTATAAAGTAGTTATATCATAGAAATTTTACTTTTACCATTTTTGTTGCAGAACACGTGCGCTTATTTGTTCACTGATGGCCCCAAAAATTATTTTTTTAAGCTAATCCCGGGTAATAATAGTGCTCCTCTAATTCTAAATATAAAACACTTATACAGTGTATAAAGGTCTTATATTTAGGACCGGAGAGTAATAAGTAAGCACAATTCAAAAGCTGAAGGGAGCAAACATAGGGACAAATTATTGAGTCATATATATATATATATATACACACACGTAATAGGGGCGAAAGAAATAAATTTGAATATACTTTATCCCTGCTAAATAATACTCCACCTAATTCGCATTTGGCCATTTGTGATTTACAATTAAAATTCAACCTTTATTGTGTTAAACAGTTTTATCACCTTTTGTTGCGTGATGAGATGTGAAGCCAGGAAAGCAAACTATGAAAAGGTATCATTGATTTGTTTTAGATTGAGAAGAATTAAAAAAAAAAAAAGCGTTGTACAGATTTTGATTCAATATTTATATATATAAGGAAAAAAATTGCCAGCACTAATTAATCATTGTGTAGCAAGTGGGATGGAGATGCACCATAATTGATAAGAGATTTTTTGAAAAAAAAAAAAGGCAGAAAAATAAAAGAAAATAGATTTACCAAATTTTTATAAGGGACACATAACACATTGGAATGGAGCGTGAGGTGCTTAGGTATTTTCAAGAAGTCGACAAACTGAATAGATTCTTCATCATCCGGTGCTTCGTACCTCTCTTGAGATTGCAATTCACGTGATTTTTTTTTTAACCATTCTCTATGGGAAAGTTTTTTTTTTAAAAAAAAAACTATATTGTGTTCTCAACTTTCCTTTTTCATCCAAAACATTAGCAAATCCGCTTATAAGGGTCTTAAATATAATTCTCCCTTTATGTTCACCTATCCTTTTAAAGACATCACTAATGTACTGCCTCCCATCCTTAATATCAGTATAAGATATAATTGACTAATTTGAAAAGGTTAAAAAAATAACTAATTTACTTAATGTTACATGATTTTTCAAAATTTTTTTTATGTATTATTAGATTATATATCAATTTATAAATAAGATAAATAAATTTTAAAAAATACAATAGTTATGAATATTATAAATAATTTAGTAAATTCTCAAATTTTCCCAAATTAAGGATGGGAGGTTATATATATATATATATATATATATATATATATATAGAGCTTGTAATTGAGGACTCAAACAAACCTTCTTATGTAATAAACAAAATGCTAAATAGTATTCGTTCAATTCTTAACGTAGGATCTAATTGTTTAGTTGATTTTAGCCTTAAATATAAGATGTATTTCTCATAATTATAATTTTTTTTTAAATTACTCATTCAGTCATAATCAAATAAGAGAGAGGGATTGAGGGTATTAAGAAAGATGATTGCGGTGTTTTATAACATGTTATATTTTTTATAATTTACCAACTTAGTAACTTTTTTAATCTAATCTAATTAGTTAAATATGTTTTATATTAAGAACTAAATGAGCACTATGCATTTGAGAAAGACACAGGTGCAATTATGGCACTTTCACGTGGAAATAATTTAAATCTGTTGACTTTGTTTGGTTGTCGAGGAAATTATGGAAGGTACAGAAAATTGATACCCACTGGCCCATTTAGCTATGATAAGATTCAATTCATTAAACGTCTCATCTAGGCATGCAATTATTGCTTTAACAAGAATTTGGGTGTGAGTGGGAGGATGTGAGGAGGATAGATTGGAATATTTGAGACCAAATGTATTTATATGATATTATAATAACTAAGTAGCATACCGGCACTTTAAAATTTCTTCCTTAATACTCAGTATATAAGTGCGGGTAGTCGGAGTTATTGCTGAGAAAAACACTTTTTGACCAAAACTGGACCAAAGATTATTTTAAAATACTAATTGCCTTTGAAATTTTTTTTATAGTGTTAGATGCATACAACTTAGTTTAAAATACATGGAAAGTTTGAAGGAAAAAAAAAACTTGGAGAACTGAACTCTAGTATGACCCACATTTCAAATCCTTCCACGCTCCTTATCTTCTGGATTGTTTGACATTTTTAGTGGCAGAACTAAATAAAGTAGTGATTAACTGTTCATTCCTCTTTTTTCATATCTTCTCACAAAAGGAACATGATCATGCCATATTTATGAGAGGACAGGCAAATACTTTTGTGTCCATGATAATTGTCGCTTCTTACTATTTAAAATGATTTTGCTTTCACCACTACCCAACAAAAGAGCCAATAAATTCTTCATAACCTATCCGATCAGTGCCCTCCTGTGTATGTCCTTTTTCTCATCTTTTTGTTGAAATTCTGTTTGTATAATGGGACAAGCTTTTGTATATGTGTGTGTATATCCCCACTCAGTTATTAAAAAAAAAAAAGCATAAGAAGAATTGTGAATAAATCTCCATTTCACATATTAATTGAGAAATGGGGCTAAGTCTTGAGATCCTTAGGTGACAAGAAGTTTGAAAGGAAAATAACCAAGTTACCATTAAAGAAGATGAGTTCCATATTTGAAAAGGTTATATACATATTTTGAAAGGTTACATGTATATCAGGGAAGGTCACTTGCATATTGAGGGTGACCTTCCCAAATACGCAACTCACCTTTCCTGATGTCCAAATTCCTGTGTGCAAATGATCTTTCTTGATATGTAAGTCACCTTTTTGAATATGTAAATGGCTTTCTCAAATATCCAACTCACATTCCCTAATGATAATTTGCTCCCTTCCCCTCTTAAAACTTATTGTTACTCAAATAACTTGAGGCTTAACACATTTCAGGCGCCATTTTCCAATTAATTTGTTAAGTACAAATTTATCTCCCAAATTTTCCCCCAAAAAGATAGTCGAAATCAACCACATTGCTGAAAATATACTAAAACCCCTTGTGGTTTTGGCTTTTACATATAATCAATTACATCAATTAACTAAATAAGATTTTTTTCCACAAAATATATTTTATGAGTAAAATTTTTTAGGCCTTCTTTGACGGCTGCGGTTAATTTTTGAACAAGTCACATTTTTTTGGGCTAACAAAACACAAGCCAGTTATTCAGGTATGGATTTTGGTGGAAGTCATTGCAGTCAAAATTGAAGGCCCCAAATATATTGGGCTATGGAGTATGGGCAGATTCACAACTTATGTCTTTTCCTTCTCCCCCCCCCCCCCTTTTTGTGTCAGCTGGGAGTATGGCAAAACAGGGGCTTGTTCTTGTCTTTTTATTTTTGAATAAGTTTTTTAGTAAATTAACAACATGCCATGTATTGGCATAATTATGATATTTTAAGGGAAAAAACGTGTTATATTTTTTACAATTAACTAATTTTTCTAATCTTTTTAATCAGATCAAATTAAGTAATTAAATGATTTTGGGCAGCAGTATTTTTTACGTGGAAGCAAATAAGTAAAAGGAAAAAGAAAGAGGAAGAAAGAAGAAGGAAATGGAAGAGGAGGGAGGGCAGGGCCAGGGAATAAAGGAGCAGAGAAGAAGAATGAAAAAAGCTGAGAAGAGTCACATGGAATTTTCAGACAGACAGGACAGTGACCAGCTCATTGGCAGTAGGGGTGTGAGAGGCACGTGACCTTTCTTTCCCAGATTGCAGATTTTGTTTTCAAATGCTCTACATAATCTCCATTATCTCCACATTCCCACTCTGCAAAATCTATTCCTTGATTTCTTTAATTCAACAAACGAATGCAGCATTCGAATTTCATTCGTTAACACTGCAATTTCACCATAATGTGAATGTATCATCATCAGCATCTCCATTTCAAAATTAATCTCACTCCCTTACAATTAAAATCACAGGGATACAACCATTCAGCTGACACTCGCCTACTCATTCCTCTGTTTCTACTTCTTCCTCACAAATTCTACATCAAATTACAACTAAATTCACACAACATATGTAGCCACTGATTAATGCCATAAATCTTCAGATCCTCTATATGTTTTGAACCACTCCTTCTTCTACGCCGCCGGCTATTGTCCGCCTCCTGCTACTTCTTCTTCTTCCTGTTCTTGTTCTTCGTCTTCTTTTGCCTCTTGAGGCGCCTCTTCCTCCGGCGTCCCAACATCTTCGGCGGGCGGCTGCGGGGGGCGCGGTGGGGGAGGAGGAGGGGGGATTCTGCCGTCGACGCAGGAGGAGCATTTGGTCTCCACCCAGCTTTCGAAGTCGTACTCTCCCATACCCATGACCCGGCGACCCGAGCAGAGCCTGCCTATCATACCCGCTATGACCCCCAGAACAGTGATGACCGCCAGAACGGCAATCACGGGTCCCACAGACCCGTGAGGTGTACGGATCGGGTAAGCCTGCTGGTTCAGCTGCATCTGGGGAGGAGGCAGATTCACCATTGGAGTGGAGGACATGGTGTGAGTTCTGAGGGTTTGAGCTCTGAAAACATAAAAGAAAGAAAGGAGTGTGAGAAGGGAATTTATGATCCGGGTCCTCAGAATCAAAAGATGAAGAGAAAGAAGGAAAAGTTTTTTAGGCTTAGGAAGAATAAACAGAGAAGAAGAAGAAAGAAAGAAAGAGGGACGATGGAATGTTAGGACTCAGGAGGAGTTTGAGAGAAAAGCCATGAGCGTGTTCAGATTGCTTTTTATGGTGGCTTCGCCTTCCCTTTTACCAAATTGCATTAGCATTACTTTTTTTTTTTTGGGTGTTTTCTGAAAAAAAAGGTTTGTGGTGTTAATAAGAACACAACATTGGTAAAGTGTAATTCAGTAATTGTCCTTGCCCCATTTAGGAATGTGCAAGGAAAAAAAACAGCTTTTGATACAGTCACATACAGCCTCTGTTCCTCCCCTTCCCTTTCCTTCTTTTTTTCATGCCTTGCTTTTGGAAAAAAAAATAGTTATATAAAAAATATTGGTTTAAATGGGTGATATTTATTTGAATATTAATAGATTTTTTCAAAAAAAGTGTCAAATCCTGATATCAAGAGGTGACCTTTCTACTTTGCAACTTGTAAGGACTGTTTGGAGGGAACTGCAAATCCGAGGAATTACTGGAATTTAGGATTGAATGAATTAGGATCTTCCAAGCTTCACAATAACTCTGCTTTTTCCTCCTCCAAGATTTATTTACAGAGTACCTCATCATCGTGCAGATGCAGGATTTGAGAAATCTCAAATCTCAATCAATCACACACATATATATAAAAAGAGAGGCCAGCCAAAAGCTCTGGCAAGTCATTCTGACCCTTGCTTTTACTGGCATATTCCTTCTGGGTGTAGTTATTTTCTTGGACTATATAATCCCCGATTAGTCTCCTTCTCACACTCATCTTTCTTTTCTCTATTTTAAAAAAAAGAAAGTAAAGTCGAAGTAAAATGTAGAAGATATCAATACAGAATCAATTCGGGGGAAAAGTTCGCGAGGTGCTAATCTTTTTAAACAATCAAACACATGAAGAACAGCTATGAAAAGCATCATTATAGCTGATAGACGTCATTATTGTTATTATTTGAATAATAATAATCAGTTATCATCTATGGATTCCATCTATCGGAAAAGGAAAGGAAAATAAATATTCTAACATTACACGAGAGATACGAGAATGATCCATCCTATAGAGAATTGGAGAATCCATTCTCATTACCTCATGCAGGAAGAGTTCAGATTTTGGCAATTAGTGAGACAAGTCTCGAACAGTTTTGTAGACTTTTGTAAACATCCTGAGTTAAAACCTAGTGAGCTGTGAACGATTTGAGATTGGACTTTGAAGGGATCGTACTTTTTTCTTTGCAAAAAAAAAATGATTTTGATAATGGGAAATATAGATCAAAAAGTGCAGCGAATGGAGCATAAAAGTGACAGAGGAAACAGAGGAAGACAGGGGAGCTTGGCATGACGAGGCAAATCATGAAATATTAAATTCTCTTTCAGTTTCATTTCCATAGGAAAGAGATAAGCTTTGAGCCTCAAGGTCAAAAAGTTAAACATCATTATTATTATTGTCCGCTACATCATACAAAATTTAATACAAAGTTTGAGACCTTTCTCTTTTTGAGCTACGGACTATACTGTCATTGGACCACACCTCCAAACCCACCATTTGCATTATTCAGCGCTATCATTTATCTCCCTCGTACAAACTGCATTAGACAAGCTTGTTTTTTTATCGCTAGTGAGTGAGCATTTGTGAGTACTATTGAGGCCTAAGATCCAGCGGAATGAACCGTGCAGTTGAGAGAGACGTAGCTAGCTAGCTGTATATTTTCGGAGCAGGTGAAATAGTAGCAGAGATCAGAGAAATTGTGGTGTAGCTTTGCATGCGCCGAGTTGATTAAAATCGAGGCGAGTCTGAAAAAGGTATTGACTTTTGGATATACTCTTTTTTGACTCTGCTGGACGCTTTGTCGGTTTGTCTTTTTGGAATCTGAATTCTCTCTGATTCTTTTCTCTCATGGATCGCACAAAGTGCTGCACCAATATTGACGCATACGAAAGCGGAGACGTGACTCGTGGAACTTCCCTGTACTGATCAAAATCATTAATGCAGATGCAGCGTGCGGCTTGGAGAGATGAATGTAGTGTTCGGCAAGATTCATTCTCGTATTCCCGTCTTGTTAATTATACAAACTACGTAGTTGGAAATGATTCGGATTGGATTGGGGCTCATCCACAGAAGCTGCTTCAATTTCCTTCTCTTTCACTGAGAAACCAATCCTTAGGCTAAATTTGGACAGAACTTGTGTTTTTTTTTTTTTATTAAGCAGAACTTGTGTAATTTTTTTATTAAGCACACGTACCTTTCTATTAAAGAGAATATTATTTGAGACCTTAATTGTAGAAACCTCTCTCTTTTAGTAGGGATTTAAACATTAGTTTATCCCATTGTGTGATATTAGTTCTTCTTTGCTACAGAGATTAGATAAATTGGATCTTGAGAGCTCACCAAGACCAAGGCATACCTCTAGATACAAAGAGCGCTTATAGAGTTACTTACAGATTGCCCACTAACAAGATCCTCACATCGGCGGCGGGATTTGACCTCATGAACTTGTGGGTTATAAGCTGACTCCTTACCAACTATAACAACTCTTGTTGGTTGTGTGATATTAGGGAGTGTTTGGGTAAGATCAAAATCATGGTTTCAGAAATGTTTTTACGGTATACAAAATAAATATGTGGATGAGTTTATCTTAATTTACGAAAAAATGCTTTTAAAAAAGTGATTCCGGATTACCCAAACACCTCTTTAGTTCTTTTTGAGAGGCCAAATCCCTATTAATAGTCTATTTGATTTCATATGATGGGGCCAATGAGCCCATTGAGCAGTCTCATGTTAGTGGGCCAGGGCCATAGATTTTGTTTGTATTGTACTGTTTGGTTAAGGTTCAGTTACGAGTGTATGAGGCCACAAGCCTTCCTTTTTGGGTTTCTGGCCTAAAATCAGGCCTCCCCTGAGCCATGGTTTTCTGTAGCCTAGTTAATGTTTATCTAGCCAAAATAAATAACTAATTACAACGACTATTATACTACGGTTAAGACGACCCAGTGGTCCCTTGTTATAATGCCCAAAGCACATAACAGTAAGGAGCTTTCTGCAGAATCAAACCCACAGAGGCTATATTATATATATTGCACCACCAGTGGCATTGAAGGTGATGGACTTATCTGCACTAGACTAGACCTGTTAAAGCCTGCACAATGAACAAGAGAGCTTTGTGTGTGTAGCTTAACCTCGATTAACAGAGCCACACTTGAGCCTAACTTGGCCATTCTGGCCTGTGAGAACCCCAACACTGCTGAGCTTAACCATGGAGGCAGCGAAGTCATTGAAGAAGGCGAACTGGTTGAGGCTATAGTAATTCACCCAATTAACAGTGATGGGATCAGCATTTAGAACCTGATCAGATTGGAGGAGCCCCGAGTTCTTAACCAGGTTGCTGTAATAAGCGTTGTCGAAACTGTAAAAAGAAGCAGAATCCAGAGGGGCCAGGTTTCTGTTGGAAGAATCCTTGTTGGGACACCTTCTCTGCAAACCCGAGAGGAGCACCGAATCCATATCAGGATCGGGTTTGCCCGACTCTTTGAAGTTGAAGAGCCTGTTTTTAAACGTAAAACACTGAGCAAATCCAATGGTGTGGCCTCCCGAGAGGACGACGACGTCCTTCAAGTCAAGACCCTTGGAAGTGAACTTGGCGGTGATGTTTTGAAGGGACTCGAAAGGTGTGGGGATCTGTTGGTTGGCCGCGACCATACTGGCACTTACAGAATCTCTTCGTCCCAATCCCACAGGCCAAGAGGGGCCACCAGCCTGATAATAACATGAGATTAATTAATGAAGAGTCAGTATCTGAGGGAATATAGTAATAATAAAGGAGGAAGAAGTAGCTACGACCTGGAGGACGGCTTCTCGGGCGGCGAGGGCGAGGATGTCGGCGCAGGAGACGGTGGAGGGACAGGAGGTTTCGAGGTCGGCTTTAATGGCGTCGATGACTTGGAAGCCGCGAAGGGAATTGAGATTGGGGCCGGCCTTCTTTTCTCCTTGCATTTCCTGTGTGTCATCCAGCAGTACTGATGCATCGCATCCCTGCGTGAATGTGATATTACCATCACTCATGTGAGAACACTACCTCGCAAGGTACTGCATTGTTCTAACTTCTGACTTCCAAGTTCCAACCTCGTCTTGTCGGGTTAATAAATTTTAATAAGATTAATTAATTTTCATGGTTTGACCTGATTTTTTTGCTAGCTTTCTGTGGGTTTGTTTCAATCACGTCCTTGTAATTTTATCTCATTTTACTTATAGTTTTACTTTTTTTAAATAAGATCTTGCAATCTTTTTACTTGATTTTTTTTACTAGTCACCTGAAACTATAAGAATCTTATAATTTTAAATAATATAGGATAATATTATTTTGATTTTAAACTTTTGAAGTAAATTTAATCTTAAAAAGACTTTTAAGCGTTCTTTTTTACGATAAATTTATGCCTCCACCTATTATTATATCACAGGAAGGGCCGTTTTTAAAACAAAAATCTTATAATAAGTTATTTTATTCATAATAATAGTGGCCAATTAAGAAATTGTTTGTTGAGTAGGTCCGGAATCTCTGATGCATGTTTCCGGGGGGGGGGGGGTATTATTCATGAAGTGCAGGGAGGCAGCCGCAGCTACTGACACAGACAACAAAGCACTGTTAGTCTGTTACATAGTTGATAATTAATGTCTATATACTACGTCAATTTTTAATATAAAAATTAATTAACTAATTTAAATTGATTAAAAAATAGTTAAATTATTATTGTAATAAATAGATATTTTTTAAAAAAAATATTTCTAATTAAGTATATTAGTTAGAACTAGTATTATTATAAGGACTATTTTAAAAAAAATGAATAAATATATATAAGAGATAAAACAGATTAGAGTCTTATATTAAGATTAAAATAAAAATTAAACAAACTCTTATATTAAAATCAGATGTAGTACATAGATCAAAATACCTAAAACATTTTTTTTTACAAAAAAAGTCATGAATCCAGTGTTTTTTTTTTTTTGAAAAAATTATTTCGACCAAAATAAGTCAACAATATCAGGAATATAACTTTCATTTTCAGAGGAATGAATATTTACAATAATATCCCACAATTTACGATACAAATGCTCTCATAGGTAATTTTCTTTACAGAGTAATATTACCTCTGGTCCTTAATATAATAGTTGATTGATTAATTTGAGTAGATCAAAAAAATTAGTTAAGTTAGTTATTTATAATAAATAGGTGTTGTTTTTTCTAAAATATCCTTGCTAACTAAGTGTATTAGTTAGAAATATCATTATTACAGGGATTACTTTAAAAAAAATTGAAATAAATATGAGAGACAAAGTGAATTGGGGTTTTATATTTAGAATCAAAATAAAGTCAAATGATGTCTTATACTAAGAAATGAAGATAATATTAAAGACGTGTTGCTAATTATCAATATATAATGAATATATACAAAAACTCTAACTTACCCAGGCATAGCTAACAAATTGTGGATAAATATATGGATAATATGGTTTAACATATCTAAGCACTCTAATTTCAAGATAGTTATAAATATCTGTCTCACAAATTATGAATATTAAAATAGACCTGCGTGATTAAAAAAATTTGCACGAACATGTATGTTGCATAAGAGTTATAAAAATATATATGCGTCGTCCTTTATTCGTTCTTCCAATGCAACCTATGACATGGCACTCCCGCACTGGATTTGGATCCTCTCCACTTCTTCTCCCATCCTCTTTCCCTCCACTATCCTCTTTTTGCTTCACAATCATTGATCAAAATTCCAATGGTCCAAATTTAACATCTTATAAAAATAATATTATTAAAAATAATAAATAAATTTAAACTGTTAAAATCTGGTCTAAACAGTTAACAACTGTAATTAAAAAAAAAAGTTGAAAAAAATTGCTCTGTAATAACAGTCTATAATATAGCATATCAAGCACTTAATTTTCAAATTTATAAATATTTTTACAAATTATGAATATTAAATCTACCATTGAAGTTTTGATCAATGGTTATAAGGGCAAAAAAAGTAGTAGGGAAGAGATGGAGAAGTGGAGAGAATCCAAATCTGCAAGGCACTCCGTACTTTTTCATTATTACTTATAATGGTTTTTCACATATTAAGAGATCATTAAATGTATAAAATTTTTCATTACATTTGTCTTCCTCAATCAATAGGGACAGATTGAAAATGAAGTATTAAAAATGATACAAGTGACAATTAAAAAAAAAAAACCAAAATTCCTTCCTACAAGTGACAATTAAAAAGATCATAGTGGTAATAAGAAGGTATAATTTATAAGTTCCCTGGATCTCTAATCAAAACACACACGTTAATTATTGTTCTTAATTTTCATTGTCGTTGACCAAAAAAATCGAGAGAACTATGCAAGAGAGCAGAATTAGAACCTGTGGAAAAGGATATGTAAACAAGATGAAACTAGTAGTATTTTGTTTCAAATAAACAGCTATACATGTGTCTGCACATAAGATTGAAGATTATGAAAGTCAAACTATAATTAATTAGAAGACACTAATGAATACGACATAAGACAACAAGCATATTTGGAACTGGGTTTGAAGGAAGAAATAAGAAAGTAGAGAGAAGAGAGAGAAATTACGTACGTCGACAATACAATCATGGAAGTGAAGACGAAGGAGGGAGGCAGCCATTCTGGGGTCCTTGTTGATGGCAGACCAGACAGCAGAATGAACAATCGTAAGCAAGTTAGGGCATGTTATGTCGTAGAAGCTGTAGTCTAGGGTTCTTCCAGGTCCATATGGTTGAGGAGGATAATTATAATAACCATTAGGAAACATATGAACCCTAAGGGGACACAGGCAAACACAAAACAAGACGAAGAAGAGACTGAGGTCGGACGAGACGAGTCTGTTAGAGTTATTATCAGAAGAAGCCATGGCTTGGTTTCTAACAGTTAATAATAAGTAGTTCAGCTTCTTCTTCTTTTTTTTTGACCAGAGAAAGTTCAGCTTCTTCTTAATTCATATCCTAGCTCACATATATATATGAGGGCTAGCTTCCAGTTCGTTTCTATAACAATTTCTGGATACATCTATTACTGGTAAATAATGGCGAGTACTATTCAGTGTTGTTTAATTTATTTTCTGTCTAATTAACCTTTCCAATGCTTTGTGTACAAAGCATGAAGGAATGTCTGGTCGAACTCATTGGCCAATCTTAGAAGTGGCACCACCATTATCGTAGCTAAAACCTAAACCTAATTGCCCATGCGCCGCCAAAGCTTTTGTTGATATTCTTCCCGTCCACTATCATTATTATTAACTTATCTAATTAGTATGTTTTCAATCTTTACTATAAAAGCTAGTTGGAAAATTGAACTTGATCCTGATCATGTATAAGGTTTGAATCCGCTTTATTTCTCTTTTTTTTTCTTGAACTAATTTATAGACTGATATATAATACTACCTCTAGTCCTAATTATAAGAGTTGGTTAACTAATTTGAGGAGATTAAGAAAGTAAGTTAAATTAGTTATTTGTAATAAATATGTATTGTCTTTCTTAAAGTATCCTTACTAATCAAATTTATTGGTTAGAACTACCATTATTAGAGGGACTATTTTGAAAAAAAATACATAAATATGAGAAACAAAGTATATCAGAATCTTATAATTAGGATCAAAATAAAAGTCAAATGAGGTCTTATACTAAGGATCGAAGGTAGTATAATGTTATACGGAAGCATTTAAGATTAAGTCACATTTGTTATAATTAACTAATCTATTTAAGTTAGTTAAATAGCTCTTATATTAAGAATTAAAAAGAGAAAAGATGTCATTTTTCATGTGATCAGAAGCATCCATATATATGTGTGCGCCCGCCTTTGAACTCATTTTTATGGTACCTCTTCTCTTTTCTATTATTGCACTATATATAGGCTTATATTTACTTGTAAGTTTCAAAAAGTATGTAATAAAATTCTGTTGATTCATAAGTTGATTAACTAGTTAATTACATTGTCTTCTATATATTTATAAAATTAATGAAAATGTCATGTGCATCATTAGAATGATTAAGTATTATTGATGTGAATAAGAAATTACAAGATTTGTAAGTTGACAATGATGTGAAAAAGCACTTGTGGAAAAAAAAAAAAAGGTTAGTAGAAAAAGTCTTCATAAGAGAATGAATAGGATCTTTCTTAAAGAGGAGACCACTGTGTCCGCACTATGCACTATATGTATGTATATCCTCGAAGATAAGGCAAATCTGCCGCTTTGGACTAATTTAAGTGGGAATGCACTTTGTCCAGCAAATGACAGTAATTTAATCACTTTATAGTTCGAATCTTTTATAAATGCTCATAAAAATAGGGGAGAATAAATTTATATTATATTTTAAAAAGATTTTAAGATAATAAATATGTGGATGAGATGTTAACATATATGAAGTTATATATTATTTTATAATTTTCCTTAAGTGAACAAATATATAAATGTAAGCTGGATTTAATTTGCACACAAATAAAATTTATCTAACAAGTTAATCATTTTTCTGATTATTTTTTGATTGATTTTGATCATGTTATTGCAATATTATAATTTTGAGGATATATAATTGATGATATTTCACGTAACATTGATTATGGAAATCACTATGTGCTCCGCATTCAGTGAACTTAGAAAGTGATGAACACCACCCCACTATTCTGATCTCCATTAATGAACTATAGCATCACTCTGCAAGTTTTTTAATCAAACCCCTAACTTCTAATTATACACTTCTCTGTTTTTTGATAATAATTTTACTTTTTTTAATTACACAGATTTATTTAAAGGATCCAAATAAACAATAAAACTTCACAACATTTAGTTGGCGCATGAATTAATTTTTGAATCACGAACCCTTAAATATTATTTTGTCTAAGAATGCTGAAAGAAACAGCATAAAAGTCTAAGATACAAACCATTCAACTATTATTATTATTTGTCAAAAATATTTTTAAAAAATTAGCATAAAAATAAAGAATATGGCCCATGCAGGTCTCGAACCTGCGACCTTCGCGTTATTAGCACGACGCTCTAACCAACTGAGCTAATAGGCCACATAATATTAATTATTAAATTATGCATTATCATACTGTTCATGAAGGACTTTTTTTGGAAAAAAAAACGGAAAGCTCAAGAAGAAATACAAGTCGTCAATATTTTTTTTTTTACATGGATATATGTTAGCGCTTGCTTTCACTCCAAAAACAATACATAAATATCCAATAAAACGTTAAATAAAATCTAAACATTGTAAAAGGTCAAATAAAAGATTTACATAATTAAAACATAGTAAGCCATGATAGAGTACATAAAATATTGGCCCAAACAAAGTATTAAACCTCCCAGTACGGGAGAGTGGGTTTGGTTATAATGGATTGACAAATTAAAACGAGACAAATCACAAAACAGCAATCTTGACCGGTTTGAGTGGTAAGCATCAATATTGGTTTTAGTAGTGTGGAGTTAGATTCTCGTCAACAGATTTTTTTCACAGGTCAGTCAAATTCAGTACAGAATATCTATCAAATGCTGTTTCAGGGGACCAAATCAAACGGAGAACAAAACAACCAATGCCCATAAAACCATATAAGCTCTCGCCACCATTCCACCATTTGCATATGAGTTCACAAGAGCATGCCTACTCTGTTCATATAAGTTTCTTGCCACATCCTTTCAGGAAAAACACAACTTAATGTATGCATCATATCTTCAGCAACACTCCTACGGTGGCAAAAAACATAATCCTGTGCCATGTTTGCTTTTATATTAGAAAATAACACAAAGTGAAACACTGCATACAAATTTACAACACACAATGCGCGGTGAGCCTTTTCTGCTCTCCCTATTAGTCTCACCTTCATTCTTTAACACTCCACAGTAAGAGAGCAAAATTTTAAGATCCTCTTTCCACTACAAATTATATTGTGTTTTCTTTTTATTTCTTTTCTCACAGAGATAAGAATCAAACTTATGATATCTGCTATCCAAAGTCCGATCTCAATCACTCAGAGCTTAAATATGTATGAAATTTAAAATGTACTCCAACAAACATGTATAATGGCACAGGCATAATCTGATCACACTTCTTTCTTTCCCTTTTGCTAGATGATAAAGCCATAAATTGACAAGTCCAAGGGTTATTTATTTAGCATTAGAAGGGAACGTCGAAAAACTGTTATCCACTGCTACAATAAAGTGTTTACAATGAGTAAAAGCAAATGTTACACAAAACAAAAAAGAAAGGAGCACTAAGAGTGGAGGGAAAAATAAAACTATTTCACGGAAGCAGAAGCAGAGATCAGAGAACAAAATTTGAGGATGAGATCACGGGCCATTATTACTCTTGAGGTGACCTAGGTAGAGCAGAAGAAGATGAAGAAGAAGTAATAGGCTTGCCCCTTCCCATGGTGAAGCCTCTGGTGCCGTCGGGCATTCTGGGGCCCTTGGTGTTGGGTCTTGCAGAACCTCCTTCACTCACAACAACAGCAGGGCTGCTACTTGGCTGACATGGCAGAGCAAGCAGTCCACGCCCTCTTCCCTTGCCACGTCCTCTTCCCCATCCTTTCTTTGACCCCACTCCATTTTCTTCCGCCTAACCAAAATAACAACTTAGATACGCTTCTTTCAGAAATGTTCAGACAAAACCAAGTTCAACTTGGAATGGTGAGACGAAGGTGGGACTAAAAGTAATGACTTTTCTTCTGTTTATCATGATCATGTTATTACTAATAAATAATACTTGTTCTTTCTTATTACATTTATAAAATAAGGATAATAATGTTATGTCTCATTCACAATTTTTTTTTTTTAAGAAAAGAATTATCTTTTCTTATTCTTTTCCTCTGTATCCAACGATCCGCCGGGCCACACAGTAAGAGGAGAATTCTATTAAAAAGTGTGCATGATATGGCTATTATCTTTTTACCTGTTAATTTCTTCAATTCTTAAGGTGTTTGTTATTAAAACTGTTAACTAATTATAGCACTTACAAAGACTCTTTTGGAAGAGGCAATAATGCCAGACTATTTCTTAATGTCCCTGTGTGTGGGGGTGTGTGCGCGCGTTTTTAATCTTTATTTTTTTTTTTTGGGGTGCGGTGAATTTGTTAACAAGCACTAGACCAACAGCTCTCTGTCTTCTTCAATTTGTCCGTACTTTCTTAAAAGAACTAAGTATACCCAACATTTATTCTGTATTTGAGATATAAAATGAGACATATAGTTAAAGGCTAGCCTTTGAAGAAATGAGTAAAACGTGGAATGACACTTACATTTGTCTGAACCATCAAATGGTCAGTGTTGTATGAATGAGAAGAATCCTCAGCAGGTTCAGAATTTAGCATCTCATTTTCCTCAAGAAAGCCATCGAATTCCGTCTTCTTACTCTTCAAAACAGATCTTGGCTGCAAATTTTACATTAAAACCCATCAGCAGCAGGAGGAGGAGGAGGAGAAATTCAAGGAGCACAAAATCTGAAACAAGACATATGAGGTGTATGTACCGAGCACCTAAGCAGCAACCTAACTCGCATCCCATTTCTCCAATTCCTATCATCTTTTAGCTTCTCAACCTGATCAATTGATCGAGTAATGCATGTTAAAAGAAAAAAAGAAAAAGATGAGGATCTATATACTACGCATCTTCACACTAAATTTCCAGAGAGTTTGACTCACCGCTTTCTCAGCTACATATGATGTCTCATACTCCACAAGTGCATGCAGCTAAAAGAGATGTACAAGCAAGCAAGGTAAGGTAAGAAAAGATCTATGCCATTTAACCACCAAATAAAAAAGTTAGACACAAGCCAATGAAGAATAGACATATAAGCATGTCAAAGGTGGGTTTTGCTAAATAATTTATTTGTCTGACATGTCTATTCATGAACGATCCAAGAATTTCTCCAAGACAACATAGAATGGTGCATTCTCTATACCTTGTTACTAATGAGGAGATCACCCTTTAGTCTGGGAGAACTAGATTCCTGAGGATGGCAGATTCTGATTGTTTTCACACTGTTCAAAGACGAAGTATGAATTACTGTCTTAAGCAAGTGAAAGAAGAAAAATCAAGAATGTAAGTTAAAAATTAAATGCAGGGGTTGGCAAATAAAACCCACCTTCCAACGACACTAAATATTTTCATAAGATTTTCGTGGGAATGATCTTCAGGTAAATTCTCTACCACAACAGTGCGAGACTGCAAAACAAAATATAATCTCACTGTATATTAGTCAGTTTGAGACAAGCCCAGAGGACAAAGACCACATAGGCTTACCTGCAATTCCTCTTTCTCCTTATCAGTGAACGGTTGTTTTCGTTTGACCTTCTTCCCATCAGCACTTAAAACCTTCAAAAAGTAATCATAAAGCAGGCTGAAACGGACCTAATAAATCCTAAATCTTGACATGCGCATCATATCCATTCAAAAGACTTACAAGTTTTGAAGATGAACGCAGTGCTTGGGTAAGCAGGTGAATGTTTCTGGTGAGGGACTTCACCTTTTTTGTGGAAGCAATAAGGGATATAGGAACTATTGAAAAAATCAACATCCGCCAATTATGAGCTTTTTCAAGTAGGAAGGGAAGAGTTTTTGACAAATACCATTCCAAAATCCTTACCATAACCTTCAGGATCTTTGTTCATCTGTTTCAGGAAAGATTCATTTGCCAGCAAACTCATGTCACTGAACTGGTACTCCGCCTATATATTATATAAGAAAATTCATGATAAATCCCAAGACCTTAGAAAGGAAAAGAAGAAAAAAAGGTAAAGCGGCAATGCATATAGGATCATCATGATCAATATTGTCCAAAACCGAAATAGAACAGATGGCAAATATTGAGAAGATTGAAAAAAGACATTGTTCTAATCAATTACAAAAACCAAGAATTAAAAGGAAGGAGGAAAAGAAGCATAAAAGTCAATGCGAATGTGTCTTAATGATAAAGACTATCCAGAAATAAAACAGAATGGAAGAAAGAAGCCATAAGAACTCTTTTAGAAAATATCGATGAAGATGGCAACACCCAAAAAAAAAAAAAAACCGAAAGAGGGCCAGAAAACCTGTGTGATCTTCTGCCCAAAGACCGTGAAAAAGAAGGGGGAAAAAGACGGTAAAAAGTAAAAAGACAATGCATTTGGCACCGGACAATAAAGAACATGCATAAGCAAAATAGAAAAGATGACAAAAGCAACAAGTAATTCCTTATGAGATCAAGGCGAAACAATATGGAAATCCAAATACAACATTTAAAACATTCTCCAATCCAAACATGAAATCTCAAGACAGCGGAAAGGCAACACATCCGTGGTCATAGCGATAAAAGATAATTCATAAACAGAAGATACCGGAACAGATGAGTAATGCACTAAGGGATACTGCGCAGAATCCACATGAATAAGACGGAGACCCAAAAAGGTGAGGAAAGAGCGGAAGGAAACCTGTTTGACGATTTTCTGCTGAAGATCATTAGTGAGGACATTCTTCGAGCAGTTAGGAAGTGCCACATTGGTAGTGGAGATCAAACGGGAGGAAGGATCTTGATCGCCACCAGGGAACCAATCAGAAGCACCGGCGCCACCAAGAATATGAAAGAAGGGATAGAAATAACCCGAAATCGGCATCTGGGTATGTGATCTGGGCACAAATTCAGGTGCTTGAGCATTCAACTTGAAGGTGGAACTGGGCGCAGTAGTTTCTTGGATATTGCTCTTCTCCTCCAATGTCTGTGCTTGTGCCTGCGCCATTTTTTCTTTTTCTTCTCTTTATTCTGTGTTGTTCTATCCTATCTCTCTGTGTGATTATGATGTGATCAGAGAAGGAAATCTTTGATTCTTTGTGAAATGAAGAAAGAAACCTATCTCTCTCCCTCTCTTTCTCTTTCTCTCAGTCTTTTCCCTGAAGTTAGTAACTGTATTTCGACGTTAAATCCACGTTTCGCGCCCAAAGACTCACTCATATACCGTTACTTGTGGCTTTGACTAAAATTTTGAGGTTGTTATTTTTCCACAGGGGCCTTGCATTTTCTTCTTCTTAGCATTATTATTCCTAAGCCTCGTTAATGCGCACATCTCTAACATGCAAGCTCAGGCCTTGCTCTATCATCGGAATATATTCAAAATCTCTACATTTTATGATATTTATTTTGAAACTGGTTATTTCTTCATTAAAAACAAAATCTTTATATGGTTATGGTAAACAGCAAAATGATCCTTCTTAAATTATAGCAATCCACCTCCACTTTACAGAGTTATACTGGAAGTTCTTGAGTAGACAATGATATTAACGATTTCTTGAGATGGTTAAATCAATTAACTGTCTTTAGAAGCTAAATAACTAATTTATCAAAATTAAAAGATTAATTAAATTGTTTATTTGCAATAAATGTTTTTTTTGGTAAAATAATAACTTTTTTTTCCCCTAAAATACCATTTTAATGAATTACCTTGGTAACTATTTTCATTGATGAAAATGTCCTTCGATATATGTAGTTTGCTTACTATTTACTTTTCAAGTACAATCATTTTTTTTATAAATATAGTAACTAATATTGATTTAGAATTTTGAAATTCAACAGTTATTTTTTTTAAAGATTTTTTGTTGAACTATTATCTTAAATTATTTATAATCATCAAACAATTAGTTTTATAATATGACGATTTGGGTATCATATTGGAGTAAATTAAGCATAATGAATAAATGAATATGATAAAATTTATGAATAATTTGACACACAAAATGCGAAATTGAATCCTACAAGAAAAGAAATACGAAGGAAATAATTGCCTGCTTTTAAATTAATGAAAATACATTAGAGGTTAGAGCATTTACAGAAATGGAGCATTTAAAATTATAATGACCTTTTTTTTCGCCGGATACAATGATCTTTTTAGTTTGTCGTAATAAGATTTTTTTTTTTTTCAATAGGATCTTAGTATGAGTTTGAGACAAGGCTTAGCATGCTTGCTCAGGGGGCCCATAATTCAAGGGCCTAATCAGAAATCTAGCCCAAACGTTAGGTTTGGGCTTTGGTAGCCCAAATCCCAATGGCTTGACTCAACTCACTGCATGTCGACCCTATTTATCAGCATCCCATGTTTAATCTATAATAAGTATTAAAATGCATATAATTGAATGGTGCAATAAAACACCAAAGAAAGGAATATTAAATGAATGGAATTAGTATATGGATGGACTATAATGAAATAGAGCCACTTTGAGGTTCCGTATGAAATGAGGCATGGAACGGAGCCATTACGAAGAAGTTCCGCGAGTTACGAAGGATTTTTGAATTCCATGCAATGTATGAAGATTATTTATTTATTTTATTTTCAGAATTTATTTCCTCCACCAAAACAACATTCTTATCAAAATATTTATTATTTTTCAAGAAAAAAATTCACCTTATATCTTACATTATTATCTTAAATTCATAATTCATGATGCCGTTGCTACCTTATAATATGTTCTCTTCAAAAATTTGAAAAGTCTGTGTTCTGAACCCAGAGGACATCCTATATACTAGAAGCCCAAATAATATCGGTGTTTTTTATTTAAAAAAATATTTTATTTCTTTTTAAAATTTGTGGGTATAAGATTGCAATAATGAGCCATTGTCAAATATTTTATTTTACTTTTTCTGTTTGTTTGTGTATATATGTCTATATGTGTATATTATTCTTATCTTATCTTTGAACCGTGACAAATAAGATAAGATGAAAAATCTATGTTTAGGCAAAAAAATGAGGTAGTTGGTCAAACCAAACACCATCACCTTCCCAACAAGAATTATATAATAATAGATAGATAATAGATTTAATAATCAGACAAACTTTCAAGCAATTTCCGAGTTATTTGATATGACAATCTCTTATCATATTATATTTTTTTGAATGAAAACAATATATCAAAATAAAAAGATATACTAACATAATAGGCTACCCAATTCGTAAGACAAAGATTGAACTACACATAACTCCTTTTACTTTCACTGAAATATAAAGGATCTAATTTTGCAATTTTAACAAAACAAGGAGTTTAATTAGGAAGAGATAATATTGAACTGAAAATTAGGGAGAAAAATACTACCTCCGCTCCTAAATATAAGAGCCAGTTGACTAATTTGAGTAGATTAAGAAAACAAGTTAATTTAGTTATTTGTAATAATTAGGTGTTGTTTTTCCTAAAATATCCTTGCTAATCAAACTTGTTGGTTAAAACTATCATTATTAGAAGAACTATCTTGAAAGAAATAAATAAATATAAGAGACAAAGTGAATAGGGATCTTATATCTGGGACCAAAATAAAAATCAAACGATATCTTATATCAAGGACCAGAGATAGTATTTGTTTATCTCCAAATTCAGTAGCAGGAACACTTGAATAAGAAATCTAAGCATATACACCATACTCTAAATATACTACTAACCATTAAAAAAAAAAAAGTAGTAGATAGAACAGACCAAAAGAAAAAAACTTCTTCCTTTACATGAAATTCCTATGAAAAAGTTTCTATCCAAAACATAGAAAGAACAAGCGATTTGACACATACATTGGAGAAGAAGTGAATGAAGATAACTATGAGTTAGGCCAGGGAATAAATTTGAATAATCATCTAAGTGGTGGGTATTGATCCACTTTTTGCCAAATTACATGGCATCTCACTGTGCGTAGAACACTCTGAGATTGCGTTTTCTTCTTTTAATACGAATCCTCTCTTTCTTTATGATACATGTCAGCTTGGATAAGTATCACTTGGCTCTGTTCTTCCAAAAGAATCTTTCTCATGAATGCTTTCTCTCTCTATCCGGGACCACTCCCCCATATTTTAGTTTATCTGGCATGTGATTTCTATTCCCTCCATGATATTCTATTCCCTGCATTTATACCATTACAAGCCTCGGAATATTTCCAAAAGATTTTGAAATCTGAATCAGTAGCGACTTTAAATTATGATGGGGAAAGTGAGGAAGAAGATGATGATAAGAGAGGTTCCATCATTTTCACCCACAGCGTTTTATATAAGCCATAATTAAAACGCGGGATATCACAGTGGGCTCCTTCCTTATATCTTGTCTGAAAGATTCTCCTCTATTATTTTGCATCTGAAAGTGACTATTTTGTCCTCAACCCAGATGAACAAGCAGGATTGAGGATTGATTTTTATTGTTAAAAAAAAAGGTGGGATACCACCAGGGTTAGGTAAAAGGGTAAAAAATCCAGGAGATTTGTACTCTTGACTAACTAAAGCCAAGAGCTGGTTCAAAGCTGTATGATTAAGTTGATTGGTTGGTGACTGAAAAAGGTTGATGGGCTACACTTTTTGAATCACGATTCTCATTAGTGTGTTTTACTTTTGGTGTACGTTGGGATTAAGTTCTTTTAGCTTCTAATTCCACCGAAACACTACAGTAAATACTGAGATGTTTGGAGAAGTCTGTAGAATAAAGATAAAATGGTTTTCAGGTGGATGATTTGTTCTTGTCAACCTCAGAGAAGTTATCTGCTTGTTGTCAAATTAAAGATAAACCACAATCTCTTCTTAAAACGACTGTTGAAATGGTATCTTAGAGACAAAGACTAGATATTATTTTAAGGAAAAGAACATCACGATGCAGATCTCCCACAACTTTCACCAAATCTTAAAGATTGAAAAGCAAATTCCGTAAATCTAACCAAGAAGTGCCTAACAAATTTGGACTCTACATTCAAAAGCCCAACCTCATTCCTAAGAATTTACGAAACATCCATAGTTTGAAAATTTGGGGTCTTACTGAGTAAATGATCTAAAACACCGGACAAAGAAATGAAGGAACTTGATATACGGGGGAAATGGCATGGAGGAATTTTATTTTGGAGTGCTCATGATAAAACTCAAGTTGGATAAATAAAAGTAAAGCTAGTCCTGCAAAATTTCAATAGCCTCTATTCGTAGATCCTTTTTTCTTTTCAGGTATGATGTAGTATACTTATGTAGTTGTAAAACTCCTCCCACGTATATTTTTATCAGCAAAATTCATGGTGGACAGTATCTATACATCTTTTCCAGGTTTGTGAATGTGACTTTTCCAGCTAAAGCTCTCAGATTTTTCATCTTCATCATCTTCTATGCTGTCGCCTTCAGTTCGAGACATCCCTCCACCGGATGCGGCTAACTGGAGGGGACCTTGAGGAGAACCAGACCCAGAACTGCTAGCCTTGGAGGATTCATTGTGCTGATCTGGGGACATCCACAAGCCTCCGAGAACCACAGACTGATTAGCGGGTGAAGCCGTGTTAGCCGGTGTTCTTCGCGTGTGAAGTCGATATTTCTGCAAAAACAAAGTAACCATATTATGTCTCCATCTCAGACTTCAATAGACAAAAATTTTAGAATACAAACTTCATGAGACATGCCAAACCAAGAGTTCTTTAATATATACAGTCGAATTTCTGAAAACCAATCAAGCAACAAGGAGAAATAGAACACCATTAACTCACTTGTAAATGACTCTTCACTTCATCGTTGGTCAGGCCATCAACTTGCATGAGTTCTCTTATTTGTTTTGGGGTTGCCGCTGCATTGAAGAAACCCAGAAATGTAAATTAGATACGAGGAACTCAAACAGAAAGCACTAAGATCTGTCAAATCTTTTTCCAAAATGAACTCTCAGATTGGCAGATGATATGCAATATGTAATATTTCTTATCTGTCTTTAACTCTTTTGCCTGATCCCTAACCCTATCCAAGTCACAGTATAAAACACTCAGAATCCAGCATCCACACAATTTCAACACTAACCCACCATTAGAAACTAAGAATATCATGAAACCCTATCCTGAATAAAATATTTGATGGTTTCAATTCAACATAGGGGAATCTTGATCCTTTCACTTCTCATACCAGATTACTAACAAAATAATTGAAATTTTTGTGAAGTTCCAGTTTCTAACCTAGAGAACCTCCAAGTTGCTGTAATGCATTGACAAATCGTCGATGCAGCTCCGGTGACCAGCACCTCCTCTGTTTCCGGGCAACTTGCTTCTGTGGCTGCTGATGACCTGTGGGCATAATTGGCTGTGAACTGGGAGTCGAGGAAGAAACTGCTCTGCTAGAGCTACTTCTCGATCCACTTGAACCAGAACCTTCCCTCAAATTTTTAGTACCGGGAGTCAGAAGAGAGAGACCATTAATGGAGTCTTCCTTTCCTTCCTTTGTTGTCATTGGTGTCGCAGGGATGCTAGGGTAGGTTGAGAAAGGAAAGAACGCCCTGCACCCACTATTACCGTTTCTACGAGATTGGAATAGGTCCTCAGGCAGAGATTGTCCTTCCTCTTCGCATTTCTGCCATGATCAAGGAGAAAAAACAAGACAAAACAAAGCATCATCTCTGAGATCAGTGTTAAGGTTCAAATAAATGACTACTAAATTTACCATCCATGAAAACCTTCGTTAAATCATCTTACCTTGTTTTCTAATTCACAGTGTTGTCTTTGCTCATAAGCATGGTTGTTAGTAGTGGGATGATTATCGGTATTCCAGAGCTGAACAGAACTCATCCAATTCTTCTTATCTCTGCATTCCTTTTCTTTCTTATCATCCTTTTTCTGATCACATTCTTTCGTCAAGGGAATAAATACTTCCAGCACTGGCTGAGAAATAGGAGTCCTGAGTTTTGCTGATTCCTCCTTCAGAGTCAAGATTGCTGCAGAGGCATACACGAAAGAGATACATAAGCCCATTGATCATGACAACAGAACCAAGCAATAAAACAACCGGAAACAGAACAATCATCAAACAGCTAGAGATCAATCCATAGAGAAGGAAATTCACAAGTGTGAGAGAAAATCAAGACCAACCATCATTTAAGAGGAGCATGCAAAGAGGAAGCTCACGCTTAAAAGCGTCGATCTTCCTCATTTCCTCTTCCAATCTCTTGAGAAACTCATCGAACCTCGACAACTTGTCGGCGGCGTTTCCGATCGTGGAAACCTCGTAGAGAAAATCACTGATCGTCTTGGGAACAAAAGTGGGTCTCAAATCCAAGCTCAGTTCTGGAGGAACCGAACCCATTTTCAGATCCTTCCCACCCAAATTCAGATCTCCCCGCGGTAAGCTCAGCTGCCGGAGATTCTACGGGAAAATGAAACGAAATTGCAAAGGACAGGAAGCGAAAAGTGAAGATATGCAATATAATAACGAATATATAGGTAGGGGAATAAATGGTATGGTATCACTATAGATTAATATAAGAGACTAAATTGAGAATGTGATCAAGGATAAATAGACTTATCTGACAAGAAAGAATGGAAAAGTGAGAAAACGAAAAAGAAAAAGTGAATTTTGATGGGGTTGGAAAAAAGATTTCAATTTTCAATTTTTCAAACACCGAGATTCTGCAGAAGAAAAGGGCAGTGGTGGTAGTGGGAAGAGCATCGCCCTGTTTAGACGGGTGTTTTGAGAAAGTCACTTTCGGGTCGTCGCGTATTTAATCTTCTCACATGCCTCGCGAACCGGACTGTCTCGGACCGGACTCGCTTGCTGAAATGTGCGAACCTCCCTTCCGAAAATAACGGTTGTTTGACACGTGTACCCCAACTTTAACTGTTGTGGAAATTTTTTTCCTCTTGTCTCCTTATAAAAATATTCGCATCTTGGATTTTAGATAACATTAATTCTTTACTTATTGAAAAAAGAAAATAAATTACTCCTCCGGTCCTTATTATAAGACCCAATTTGACTTTTTATTTGGTCCTAATTATAAGACCCAATCCATTTTGTCTCTTATATTTATGCATTTTTTTCCAAGATAATCCTTCTAATAATGATAGTTTTAGCCAATATACTTAATTAGCAAGGATATTTTAGGAATGACAACACTTATTTATTATAAATAACCAACTTAACTTACTTCCTTAATCTCCTCAAATAAGTCAATTGGGTCTTATAATTAGGACCGGAGGAGTATTTAATCTTCTTAATTTTGATTCAGTTATACCCACTCCCTCCCTGAAATTTAATTTAAGGTAAGTCAGTCCATCAAATTTTAGTCATTTAATTTATTAGTCACTCAATCTTTACACATTATAATTCAGTTACGATGTTATTCTTGAAAGACCAAATGATTTTTGAAGGCGAAAAAAACAATAAATTAAATTGTTAAAGCTTGAAAGAATAAATTAAATGAGTTAAATGTCAAGAAGTAAGTGATAATCAAGTTAAGATTATAGGGAGACTAATTGATTAATTTTTCTTTCCATTTTAATGTATTATAATTTAATTTTTTTGCTGTTTTTTTTTAATTATTATATGTGCATAGTATTTTTCAGTTAGATCTACTTTTTATTTTTGCCAAATAATTTAAATATCTCCCGTATGAGTTTGTCACGTTCAAGGTTCTAGTTGCGGAAAAAACATTCAATATTCCTTAATTTCTAATAGCGCCAATATAAATCTCTGGTCCCCAAATTTATTCTTATTTTGATTGTAGTCCCTTGAATTTTAAACAATAGATTTTGATTCCTCAAATTTTTTTTTGTTTAAAAAATTAATTTCTCTGATTTAATGAAAATCTGGATCATTTTACTCCTTAAGAAACCAAAACTCATAATTTGAAATTCAAAGAATTAAAACCAAAATACGTACAAAATTATTTTAACCATTTCTGATAATTGAAATACACATACCCGAGCCAATAGGTGTAAAGATCCATTCCTCCATATAGAGACAATGTATATAAATTAATATTAGAATATTATATTTTAAATGACAATGATTCTGGGTTAATCTTGATCCATTATGATGAGTGCTTTTATAAATGCCATAGCCATGTGCTGCTGAAAAATTTCCAAATCTAACCAGCTTCTTTTTTTTAATTATTTTATGAAAACGTGTTTTACTTACCATGTACAAATCATGGCGTTTAACCCATAAAGTAGTTACCACCAAGCTTTAAAAAAAAAAAAAATCCTCAAGAAATTTTTTTCGGGAGGGACTAATTAATTTACTTGTCTTGAAATTAGAGCATAGTTTGTTGACTGAAGTTTGAACAACATTTTTACATGTGAATACGTTATTCACTTTATTCTATATACGTTATAGCGTAGCAGGTAAGGAAGAGCATGGTCAAATAATGATGAATTATTATTTTATGCAGACACGACATCCCTAGATAATTAATTTTAATTATTTATTAATGAAAACCTCTTTCATTATATGCAATCAATGGGATTGCTTGAGAATAATTATAAATTGCAAGAGAGGGTGAAACATTTGATATTTAAGAATCAGATCAAACTCATTAGTTGGCTTTTATATTTAGAGTTGGAACTTGGAAGTATTTCATAGTAAAATTAATTTTGCATATATTTTAGAAAGGGTTAATGCTACCTTTAATCTCTTAAATTTGATCTTATTTTAATTTTTATCAGTCTGAAAATTTTTTTGAATAGTATTTTATTTTCCTGAAATAAGGTTTCAAAGACCAAAATTATAAGTTTTAAATTTTGAAAACTAAAATTAAAACGAGGTTAAATTTTATAAAATAAAATTGATATGAATCTTTTAAAAAATAAGTAAAAGGTTAATAATAAGCCGTCCTAATTGCAGCACCACCCTTAATGTTTAGATAAGATTCTAAGCTTAAAAATCATATTTGTATGTGGATGTATTTAATTGCACCAAGTTAAAAAAAAAAAATTAGAGAAAAGAAAGTGGGAAGGGCTTTTGAGAAGAAAGCCGCCAGGGAGGGACCATGTTAACATGGACTCCAACACGCTTAGATGAATATCGATGCAGCTTTATTTTTCCAAAGAAATAAGAGGTTGATAAGATTACAGGCCTCACTAAATTTAGGGCAAATCTTATAATTTAAAAAGAATTTATAGAAATATTGATAAGTTATATTTACTGAAAATTTTTTATATCGACATTTCATATTCTAATGGAAGCAAATTAAGTTCTCATTTGGACTAGTTGATATGTTTAAATACAAACATTTTTTTCCCGAAGAGATGAATGGAAAATAGAAATGGATGGCAGACCAAAATAAAAATAAAAATAAAAATGAGTAGCCAGAAGTAAATGGAGTTGGCAAATCAACGATCAGGGTCGTATACCCTTGCAAAGAATACCTCTTAAAATACTTGACGCCTTCTAAAAATTTATTTAGAATTGTTTATATTAAGTATTTATAAATATATTTATGTAAATCGAAACAAAATTATTTTCATATGTTTATCTGATAGTACCTCTGGTTTTTAATTTAAAAACTAGTTGACTAATTTAAATAGATTAAAAAAATTAGTTAAGTTAATTATTTGTAATAAATAAGTGCTGTGTTTCTTAAAACATCTTTACCAATCAAATATATTGATTAGAACTACAATTATTACAAAAACATTGGAATAACATAAATAAATATGAGAGACAAAATAGATTGAAATATTATATTTAAGATTAAAATAAAAATCAAACAAATATAAGATACTACTCCTCCGATCCTTAATATAGAACCCAATTGTTGAGTTGATTTTGGTCCTAAATATAATACCCATTTATCATATTTATCAATTTTTTCTAAATTACCCTCATAGATACTTCCTCAACCATAATCAAGTAAAAGAGGAAGATGGGGTATTAGATAAGATTATTATGGTGTTTTAGGAAAAACATGTCACATTTTTTATAATTAACTAACTTACCTAACTTTTTTAATCTAATTAAATTAGTTAAATGGGTCTTATATTAAGGACAGGAGGAGTATTTGGTTTCTTTTGGACAAGTTTTACCGACTAAATCTTTTGCGTATCCAACTAGCTCTTCTTTCCGACATCCCTCACATCTCGTCCTTATACGCACGTATACATGCATGTGTGCGTCATACTCCATCCGTTTCGTGAAAAGCATGACAAAAAACTTTTTTATATACTCTTCCGATTCTTGATATAAGACCTAATTGTTAAGTTAGTTTTGATCTTAAATATAAGACTCATTTCTTATATTTATCAATTTTCTCTAAATTATCCCTAGGGATACTCCCTCAACCATAATCAAGTAGAAGAGGGAGATGGAGTATTAAGAAAGATGATTATGGTGTTTTAAGAAAAATATGTCACTTTTTTTATAATTAACTAACTTACCTAACTTTTTTAATCTAATCAAATTAGTTAAATGTGTCTTATATTAAGGACCATAAGAGTATGAGCCAAACAAATCGTTAAATAGTCTAATTTTTTGCAGACGAGTTTAATGTTCTTTAGATATAATGCCTAGTGCTTTTAAATAAATACTACTATTCAACCACTAGTGAATGAATTATTAAGGGGCAACCAGGAAATAAAGCATTTAATATTTTCTTGAAATATAAAAAAGAACACTTATTTTAAACTATTAAAAAGAAGATTTTCGTGATCCTTAGGAAAAGGTAAGCTTTGCATTGTGTTACCAAATTCTTTACCAATTAGTCAAATTAAAGTATTTTGTTCCAGTGTTATCTAATCCTTTTGCTCATGTAAAACATCAATATTTTTTTCTTACTTTTTAATTCGCTTCATTTGTAAAATCTTCATACAAAAAATATCAGCACATCCATGAAAAGTACTCCACATGACAGCTCGAATTTTATATCAAGCAGATTTTGGTTTGTCAAGGTGGGCAGTCGTGGTGTTGAAGAGATAATAATGTGTGGGACCCCTTTTAGATATTTGCTCTTAGCTCCAAGATTACGTTTAAAAATTCCCAGTGACGGTAAAAGTGGTCCCTAGGTTTTTTTTTCCCCCCATTAATACATAACGTTTCAGCAACGCATTGATCAATTTTCAATTATATATTTATTAATTATAAATAATACTATCTCATGTTCTAAATATAATAGCTAATTAACGGTAATAAATATAAAACTCAAATTTATTATGTTAATGTGTTCTCAAAAGTATTCTTATTAACTACTCCTCCGATCCTTAATATAAGACCCAATTCTTAAGTTAGTTTTGATCTTAAATATAAGACCAATTTCTGATATTTATTAATTTTCTCTAAATTACCCCTATGGATACTCCCTCAACCATAACCAAGTAGGAGAGGGAGATGGGGTATTAAGAAAGATGATTATAGTATTTTAGAAAAAATGTGTCATTTTTTTATAATTAACTAACTTACCTAACTTTCTTAATCTAATTAAATTAGTTAAATAGGTCTTATATTAAAAACCAGAGAAATATAAAATATTTCTATCCAACTGCACATGATTAAATAAAGGTAATTTAAGGAAGCAAACATATAGTTATTATAAATAACTAACTAATTAGTCATCTGATTTTTACATTAAGTGTGGGAGTAGTATTATGACTATTATAATCTCATTAGGAAGT